CATCTTTGTTAGACGACTGTTTCTGTCGTCCTTCTCTTTTGTCGAACCTTTTCCCATCCGACTGTTTTATCGTACAAAGATCAGTCGCCTGTATATAGGTTTCTGCTTCAATCAAGGCCTCTTGAAGAGTCGCCACCCTTTTTCAAACCAAATCAAATTTGAAGGTAGACCCGTCTTTGAGACCTCTGAAAAAGTCAGTATAAGCTACCTCATCCGGTAACCCTTGAATCTGTATTCTCATCAGGTTAAATCGCCTGATGTAAGAACGAAGCCCCTCCTTCTCGCCCTGCTGAATTGTTCCCAAATCAAGGGTCGTTTTCTTCGCAGGGATGTTCATGGCGAAGTTGGAGGCAAATAAGTAAGCAAGCGTCCTGAAGCTATTTACACAACCAGTCGGCAGGTTGCCGAACCATTGCTGTGCGATTCCTTTGAGAGTCGCTGGGAAACACTTGCACCAAGTGGGATCATCCAACCCTTGAAGGTACATCAGGTTGGTGAATGTCATCAGATGGTCTTCTGGGTTAGTAGTGCCGTCATAGGCGCCTACTAGTACATTTTTCACTTTGGCCGGCTGAGCGGCTTCAGTAATTTCCTTGGAGAAGGCCGACGGCTGTTCACCAAGTCTAAGCAACCGTAGCTGCCAGTCCATAGGTTGGACGTTTTTTGCTGCAGGTCCACCAAACGGAGGTGGCTGCAAAAAATACTGTTGTTACGGCACAAATGGTAAGTTTGGTACCGCCTGGTCGCTATGAAAGCCGGACTGACGGGAGGTGCCGCCTGACTGACTCTCATGATACGACTGAGTATGCCTCATCGAGGCATTTCGCAAACTGTCTTGAAAGTTTGAAGTAGAGGCCGACTCTGACAATCGATCACTCTTCTTCTGCTCTAGCAGTAGCCGAGCATCTGTGAATGTTTGCTTCGACCCGTCCGCCTGAATATGACGAACAGGTTTCCTATTTCCTGTAGGATAACGGAATTTTGTGAAATCAAGGGCAGGTGGCTCCCGCTTCCTAGATTTAGGATGAGGAGTCGCCTCTCGCCCTTGAACTGGCTTCCTCTTCAGTGAAGTGGAGGGTTTCTTGGCCGACTGCTCCTTGACTGGAGCAGGCGGCTTCTTGTTGATCAACTCTTGAATCTCTCCCTTGAAGTTCCTCATGAAGGTCATGAGTTCGTTCCTTGTGATGGGAGCAGACCCATCAGTCGGCTGTTGCCGAACAGGCGGTGCGCCTGCTGGCTCGCTTCCTGTTTGAAGATGCTCCTGTTCCCTCCTTTCGGTATGACGGGTACGTCGGGCCCTTAGGGTCCCGTCTGAAGCTGTATGAGCTTCAACTTCAAATTCACTTTCGGTATCATGGTCCGACTGAACTTGAGGGTCGTCTAGGGGACGCCTCTCTTCAGGAGTCGGTACAGACTTGGATGCCATCTCAGAAGTACTCTCCCCACAGGCGGCGCCAAATGTTTCGGGGTTTTCTGATGTCCTGCGGGAGAGTTACAATTCCGAGACTGGAACCGGACGCCTGTACCTGCAAAATAACGGAGACTCCTGTGAGCTCCGCCTCCAACGGTCAAGTTAGTACCTGATTAAGGAGTAATTAATGCTGAAATTAAAGTGATTTGGTCTCTCTAGGTGAGAGTGTTTAATGTAGGTAATCTGCTTTGTTAGCGAGATCAGCCGGTTATTACTGTGTGTAATTAATGTGTTTTTTCCGTAATGTTTCTGTTCTCTTTTTTGTGTAATCCCCCTTAATGAGGATTAAGGGAGGTATTTATAACCTTGGGAAACGTGCCCATCCTAGGTTTAGGTAAACCTAGGGCCGATTGGGCTTCCCTCGGAAGTTGGGCCTGGGTGGCCGGTTTCTCCATTAGGCATGGAGTATGCCACATGTCTTGACATAACAGGTCCAAGGTGGACGAATAAGCGTGTGCCACGTGGGAAGCCCTGACTGTTCCAACTGGGGGACACTTGGCAGGACCTGATTGGTCCACGTGGCGCATTCCGATTGGTGGGAGCAAAATCCCCTAATCATTTGCCCCTCACCACGCGTTAAGATACATATATCATTAAATTGTTTACATATAGACAATCAAAATAAGTAAATTTTGTTCACCACTTAATAAATTTAATATCCTCTATTTCAAACTATTATTGCACTTCTGGAAAAGCTACAAGAAAAGCATAAAGGGAGTATATGAAAATCTAAGACATGTAACATGTTTTACATAGAATTCATGGCCTAAAACATGTTGCCATAGCGGCCTACAAATCATACACCCAAGTCAATGTTAATCACTCCAGAAAAGTTGCATTAATTTTAGGATCCTTTTTCTTTTTTCCGACTTGTCTGTTTCCCGGTTAATTTTATGTTGACATTTAGCCGACGATTAAATTCCATTGCATAATTTGATGTCTATAAATTACGGTATTAAAAAAACACTTTTAATTGTTAGGGTTATTAATTAATCAATTTGTTCATTCAAAAAGTTTATTTTTTCTATTATCATGTTACATAAGATATTATGAGAAGAAATTAAATGTAATTTTTTCAACCTTATATTGAAAGTTCGAAGTTAGTTACCAGTATTAAAAATGATGTACGAGATTAGAGTTCAAATGTAAAACCTAAAATTTGTAAAGTGATTTATTATTTCCTTCCTTTTATCTTTCGTGGATAACTCTATCCTATGTGGATTATTCATGAAATTGCAAGAGGCTCAGGAATATGTTTTATACTCTATCACACTCCCTCGAACCCGTTTTCTTTGTGTCACGCTGACTCTGATACCATGTTAGAGGACCAACTCAACCAAAAGGTTAAGCTGATGATTGAGACTCAGAAATATATTTTATACACTATTAGTAAACATCTATTATTCCTCGATAGGATCAAGATAAGTTGAGAATGAATCAGGTGCCGTATCATGAGATTGATACACAATTAATTTGGATCACTGAAAATTGGATAGGCCTAGGCATTACTTATTCACTGAAAACCATATACCTAACAATATTCTATGTGCTTGTGGTTTACTTTACAGTAAGTGTTAAACTTTTAGGAGGTGAGATGCCAAGGCTATGGTTACAACTTTTATTGGAGAAATGAGTCATTAATAATTACTACTACTGTATTTTGCAGTGTACTTGGGAAGATCTCCACGAAGATATGCAGATAAATATTATTTCAACGGATAGTTCATGAACATATATGATCTCATCAAATCTCTCAAACTTTACCAAACGAGTATGGATCTTATTATCTTAAAAATAGAGATAATTGCTTCATTGCGATCATGAATAGCAAGACTGATAGCAAGGACCAACCTTGTAGTCTTGCCCTAGGTTTAGGCTGTAAGGGGTTGAGCTAGAGATTTGAAGGTCATGAGTTTGATTTCTATAAGGGGCACTTTAAGGGTGAGTTATCCTTATATTTTCGTTAACCAACGCATCCAATAGTGATATAATGTGTCAAAAAAAATTTAAATTTGGTGGAAAACATAAACGAATAATGTAAGCAACAAATAGTATTAACAAGATAAGATTATTTAAATAGTTAAATTCCTTAAATTCTTTAAAATGGAGGGGAATAATGCATAATATAAACATCATACTTTAGAATGTTACTATTAATACACTACACTCTCCACTTAGATATAATTAAAACTTTTATATTTCGAATGTCCCATGTTTAAGTTAGCATCTTTTGATATTTCTCCATATGCTAACTTTTGTTTCTTTTCGCTTTCTCTAAAGTTAAAGTTACAAGACTACAATCTCTCACATATTGATGTATATATACCCATACTTTTTTTTTCTTTATACCTGTAAACTCTCCTTAATCTCCGCACAAAAAGCATTATTATACACTCAATAAGTAATCTACTTAAAAAAGGTATTGATAGAAAGAGATGAAATGTTCACACCCTCTCCAAGAAAAGAAAAATCAAAACAAGAGAGAAAAATGAATGCAAAGATGATAAACACAAGCCAAACTTCTACCAAAGGGGAAAAAGAAGAGGGGACCAAGAAATAGACCAAGCAAGTGAAAGTTAGGATAAAATACATCTCTCACTTTCATGATTTTGACATGGATGGTTGTAAATAGAAAGGGTAATTAAATTAACCCCCTCCAAAAGTAAAATAAAAAGATTTATGTTATGTATTGAAGTGCTACACTAGTAAACTAGGGTAGTAGCTTAGCTGTATGAAGATGATGATCAAATCAGGCTTCCTCGCAGGAGACAGAAAGAAAAGCTGATTGGTCTTTTACTCTCTCTCCCCCTCCACCACTTCTTTTTGGGTCCCACTCCACCCCCCCTTCGTTTTTTTTACCGCGTTTGTATTGTGAGAATTATTCCTCCTATCTCTTACTCAAATTCTACCATTTTCTTGGAAATTTCACTACTTTTTCCTATGCCTTGTCGAATTGGAATCTCTTACAAGTCAATATAATAACCTAAGTATCTCAGGCCCTTTAACAGTGGAGGAAGGGTCGGAAAGGATTTTACACTATTAAAATATCATTAGTGAAATACAATCCTTATCGCTATATTAAACCATGTAATATATGGTGTATTACTATGCTAGTTTTGGTGGAGAATTTTTCAAGCTCTTTTTACAAGCATTACTTTTATTATGGTCATTACACCCTACAAAACTATGGTCACTATCTTTTCTAAAATGCCTTTTTTTTCACCCTAGAAAGATTCTTAGGATAGATATATGTAAGATATTCAAATAGTACATAATTTCGGATATATATCAAATAAAGGTATAAAAAATGAAAAAGGATACTTAAATTAATACTTGTATGTATAAGCCTTTGTATTGACTTAGTTATATAAGTATGTCAAGATTGAAACTATGAAAGGGTTAGAGTTGTAGGAAAAATGCCAACATAATAAACACAATAGGGTGTACTGCATGATACGTACCTTGATGTTGAAATTTAGAAAGATACTCTATAATATACTAAAAATTTAAGATGCTAACAAAAAAGAAGTTTATAATACTCTGTATAATGACATAGAATGAGACAATTTTACTAATATTGGTGTTTCCAATAACATACATACATATGCTATTTAAAATTACCCTGACTACACACTAGATTATCGTAACTTGAACAACGAGTAATCTCATTCCTTGAGACGAATGAAGGCGGCACAAAGGGAGCATGGATCTTCTACCATAAGTTAACTAGATGAATTGGACTATATTACACATACAATGATTACTACTCCACATGGTTAATTAATAAATTAACTATCAAATTAAAGCTAACTATGTTAGCTTATTAATTGAAATACCACTAATTCCATCTTCTTGACCATTTGATTGAATTCCCATTGATTAATTGCCTCTACATACATGATAGCTAAAGCTACTCAAATGACCTTACTTGCATGAAACTTGAATCAAATGACACCCTTGGCGGTGATACTGCAATTGTCACTGATGATGATGAGTTCATCCCCGAATCCGATGGAGACCCTACAGATTAAAATTTTCAAATTAATCAACATGTTCATCGTGATTAATTACCTCGTAATCAATAACAAAACTTACTTCATCAAAACTAATATAACTAATTACGCGTATATCATTAAATGTCCCACGCAGGGACACACTCTCCTGGACATATTTTATTAATAACACAGCTATCTACTCGATTTACTTTCTTGTCAATAAGACAGAATTCTCACTAATGTATAAATTTAAGGAGTGTCAAAATAATTACCCACATTTTTTTAATAGAGTATTTTCGTTTTTTAGGAATTTTTAATAGAGTATTTAATACAACATAATACAAGTAATAATTTTAAAAATCAATTTATAGAAAAAACAGAAAGTTACTTAAAATAGTTTGGGAGGGAGAAGATTGAGCATTTTCCCCTGAAGACATAGACGGTGCAGTAGAAGTAATCCGTTGATTATTCGATTTTCGACGTCGGCGATTGTGATCAGCCAATCTTTTCCGGCAACTTCTCTTCCCATTATCAAATTCCGATAGCAGATGAAACCTAATACGAAGCATAAAATCACCATTAAAACATTTTTAAAAAGCACACGCGAAAGGTTATTTTCGTCATTTCATATTAACATTATTCATTAACGGTCATTCTTAACTAACCTAATCTAAAACCCTTAATAAGCAACAACAAAAGGACAAAGGTACCCCTCGGGAAAACAAGCCAAAATGATTGGATACCATTTTTTAAAAATTATGTCATCTCTCAAAACTGCAACCTAATCGCTACTCCACCTGTTTTAATTATATATTACGGAGGAGACGTAAAGGGTAAAAAGGGATTGATTTACCGGCTGCACTGCTGGCAGAAACGCTGAGTTAACCCGGCGGCGATTACTGTAGAAGCTTTAGAGTGAAACTCGCAAACCTTATGACGACGGTGGTAATGCTTAGCATGGCTAAGGTCAGCATTACAACCTTCAGCTTGACATTTAGGTGAGTGCAACGCCGGTTCGACCGCCCTAGACCGGCGGTAGAGCCGGCTGACGAGGTCATCATCGGCGGAGAAGTAAGTACGCCGGCCTAAGTTCAAACCAATGGGACGGTTCGTAAAAAGATCCGGTTCGGTTTTGGGGATTTGCATGACGGAGGACAGTGACTCAAGGGTTAGTAAGGAGGATGAACCGGCTGTTGGGAACCCACGTGGGTCGGAGAAGAGTGGGATTTGTGGGGGAGTGTTTTCGTAGGGTATTGAGAACGAGTCGTCGAAGATTGGACGGTGGTGGTGGTGGTGGTTGTGATGGTGTGATGGGGTGGTGAATTCATGATTGTTGTTATGATTATGATGATGATGATGGTGGTGGTGGAGATCGATGTCGGAGAGGATTAGATTAGGGGGAGGGGGGGAATGATTGTTCCATTCGTAGCGTAACATTTTTTTTGGGTCAATGAATACTACAAGAGCGGGGTGAATTGTTATTTTAAAATAATTAGTTGATTGGTAGTGTAACGTAGTTTGAACAGAAGAGAGTGAGCGTAAGGATGATTATGAAAGAGGAATAAAGGATGAAACAGATGGGATTATTGTTTGGAAACATGGGGAGTTTGTTGTTGGGAATGAACATGGAATAATGAAGAAAGAATAGAGATTGAATAAGAGTAATACAAGTAGTAGTAAGAAAGATGAGAGAAATGGAAAAAAATACTTTATGGAGTTGCACACACTTTGCTTTCTCACTTGAGTAATGGCAATTGGCAAGTTATAAGCATCTCTCTCTTTCTCTCTCTCTTTCATGTATGGTACTTTATGAGAGGTAATTTTGGGGTTGATAGAGGGAAAGGTATCTTTTTAATCAATTATTGACTCTACTCATTACTTATTTACTTTGTCTTTATTATTGTGTCACCAGGGTTTACCTAACTTGACTTTCACGATAAAAATATATAATAAGATTTGAGACAACTGGATAGGTTAGGACAATGTCGGATGTATATATAACAATGAAACTGTATGGTCTACACTTGCAATCGAGTAGATTCAATAGGGTATCTAAGTTGCTTGGATCTCTAAAATATACGTCTTTGAGTATGATTTTTATGTAATTAAACTTATCCTCTCTTCGTCTTTAAAATTACGTTAAAGTCCTCTCATTTCGATTTTTTTTATATTTGAAAAAATAGCCATCTAAATTAAAAAAAAAAAAAACCTTTAAAAATAGAGGTAGTAATAATTATATATGCATATACGGTTATACATTGTAACCTTCGTTTATAAAAGGCATAAGGCATAACCTATACATTTAAGAAGTCAAAGTATATTGATGAGATATCATTAAAAAATACATAACATTATTAGATACGTACAAAAAAATACTCATCCACTTTCATATAGTCATATATTTTATTGGTTGGTCAAAATTATATACAACATTACAATGTATAGAGAGAATTTACTTACTAAATATATACAACGTTGCACAAGTATCCTTATTTATAAAGAGTTAGATCGAACCTTTTAGAGCAATGTAACAATATATATATTCCGGCCAAAAGAAGCACATGGAACGGATCATAATAGTATACTCTGCAGTAATGTACAATTGTGGTTAGTGTTGATTACTAATTCCCGATCTCCTCATCAAAATAAGCCAAAACCTAGAGTTGAATTGATTTGATTTAGGGACCATATCATATCAATGATTAGAGGATAATCACTAGTGAATTGAATGGGATGATCCTAAAAGTTCTTAAATTTAACAATTCAATTGTCATCATGAAGATGCAAGTGCAAGGAAACTTCTCTCCGTTTGTTAATAAACCTTTAATTATTTACAGACAAATTGCATGATTATACATTGTACATTTGTACTGTTACATGAATATGAGCATACTTCCAAATTCTTACTTATTGCTGTGTTTTATTACGGAGTACATGAATAAATAATGATAAATCGTACTACATCGCTATCTTGACTACAAATTAAATTTTGTTAAAAGGAAAAATTGAGGAGAGTTTGTAAGTTTTATTGATAGAGAAAATTATTCGGCTTGTTAAATTTAAGTTTTAATTACAATTGATAGATTACGGTCTTACAAATATATACATAATCAATTAGAGGTGTAGTGTATTTTTTACGTATCATTTTTCTTAATTATAACTATAAGTTCATGTAACTATAAATTATTTCCAAATTTTATCAAATAATGATAGAGTTGTGGATGGCCATTTCCAATAAGAATATCGTTAAGCTAAGCCAATATTAACTTTCAAATGATTGAACTTATTACCTCAAATTGTGCCTTCCTATAGTTGTACTCCTTATGTTTTCGCTTTTGAGCATGTTTAATTTTAAAATCAATGAAGCTTACAAAAATTTAGGGTCGATATTTTGAATTCGTTTGATTAAAATGTATTATATTGCTAATCCATCATGAGATGCATATAATGACATACATAAATGAATTGAAGTATTATACATCCTCCGTATATGTATAACAGAACATAATTGACGGCCCAATATATATATTGAAAGTTTTCATATTATCTCTTTATTATTTATTTTTTTGTTCCATCCACTTACCATTCATGTGTACAAACTTAATATTATCGTAGGAGAATAATCTAGCTTATCTACATCACTTCATTAATACGTATCTTCATAATATCATTAACATTATCGTATGAGATTAATCTAGCTTATTAACAATTTAACATCACTTCATTTATGCGTTTTTTTTTTCTTCATAATATCAACTGTTCTTGTATCCTTTATTATTATCTGTAACTCTTCTTCTACTTACTAGTACATTCTATTGGATTACAAATTAAATTTATTCAAAAACGTAAAAATTTAAATGTAAAACCAAAATATCACTCTAATATACTAACGATAACATGTGCATGTTAAAATTAAACAGTTACATATATAATGGAAGGAATTGTTGTTACTTTGTTAGCACGAATCAGCTTTATCAATCATATATCAATATTGCTATCATGTCAAATTAAACTTTTCTTTACCTCCAATAAGTACATCCAAGTGATTGGATGTTCATCTAACTATATATAGTTAATTGATAGCTTTTCTTTTAATTAAAAAGGTAAGTTAATTAATACTCCTATTTGTATGAATGTATGATTTGAAATGGAGTGAATTGTAAGCTAGTGACTTAAGTCCAATCTCTTCAAAAACAACCTTATCATAGTATAAAGTGTGGCAATTTTACAACAATTTGTGGAAATTTTAGTCTTTGATAAACACCTTATTATTGATGTGATGTTCATGCACCTACCCTTTTCCTTCCTCTTCTCTTTTTTTAATCTCCTTTATCTTATCTCCTACAAGTACTTTCAGAAAATCAAATTTAAGAGGTTATTTTCACTAAATTCTATGTTTTGAATTATCGGTTATATAGTTGTATGATTTATATGCAAGTTATAATATGGAGTAATACAAAGATTCACAATGTATTACTTCGTATGATGAGAATATTTTAATTGTGCGTTTTTAAGTGATTGATTACCTTAGTTTCAAATTCATAATTTCAAAGTAGTCTTGACCTTATACTGATCAATCCGCCTAATTACACAGATCAACGCTTGAGGGTAAGTAGTCAAATATAATATTATAGATTTTTTTTGAGGAAATATTGTAGATGGTAATACTCAAACTGCTTGTTAAATTACATCAAAATCACAGGATAAATTGCCTAACATCAACTATATATCCCCAAATATTGGTTTTATTTTTGGTTTGATTTTTTGAAGGATAATAACAAGTTAGAATAAACGAGGAGAGATGAAGATGAAGAGCATTTGTCATGTAATGGAAGTAAAAGGAAGAGAGAATCGCAAAGGTGATGCACCATAATCTTTGGTTGCAGAGATTTGGAACTGGAAAAGTCTTAAAAATGGGTCCCACATATATTTTGGCACAAAGACTTTATAAATGAATCATCAAAAAGAAACAAACAATATAAAATTATTATAATTATACTTATGGGTATTCTTAATATTCTCTTCATTCCATTTTATAGTTTCTATTTGTGTTTTTTTTTTTTTTTTTTTTTTTACGGTATTTAAGAAAATAGGAGGAGAAAGTGGATGACTACATTAAATAACGTAAAAAGTACAATTATAGACCAAAGTTAGAGAGAAAAAGTTAAAAAAAAAGTACAAGATAAATGAAAAGTTAAGGATAATTTAAAAAGTTCAATAAATAAAGTTAAAAGAATGAAAGTATAATGACTATTACATATTATCTAAAAATAGAAATAAAAACAATATTTAGATATTTTAAATAGAAAAACAGGAAATATAATATAAGACAAAAGGAGTAATAATAAAGATATATAGAGTGAGATGGATGAGTCTGACTAATAATGTTTGACAAAAATCCGTACAATTGAGTCAACGTCGTTGCAGGCTTTCTTTTTCTACTGCTAAAGCGGAACCACACACGACCCATCTTACGCTCTTGTCGGCTACGCCTCTTTTATTTATGTGTCCCACCACTTCCTTCATCATCAACTTCCCCCCAACCCCATCTATTTCATCCTAATTAATCATCATCACTTTCAATCCTTTCGTGACTATCAATTTAATCATGCAAATCACACACCATGTAAATCCAATTCATGACTTAGATTGTGTGTAGATGTATTCAATTTGATTGGGAATGAAGAAGTCATCATCATGGGTTAACATCTTTTGGCTAGGACATGTTTATTGGACTATCTGAAGTTGATTATGACATATTATGCTTTATGCTTTATCAATCACTGTTGGTGAACTCATACGATTTTGACGAAACTTGTTGGGGTACATGTTGAGAAAGTAAATTAGGTAATTAACTGTTGATCGCTAATTACTATTTTATTGGTTGTTTGAATCAATTGTTTAGTCGATCTGTTTATTTAACTTTACTAATGAAATTTCTTTTCTTTCGTTTATGTTTCTAGTCTTTAGTAGATTTTTTTGCTTTAATTAACATCATTAAGTGCCCTACTTAAACCTAGTTAATGCAATCAATTAAATTATAATTATACTTCCATAATACATACAAATGTAAAGAATATAATTGCAGCATATGAACTGCAGACTGCAGAGCATCCTTCTAGCTAGGAAGGTAAAGAATATAATTCAAACAAGCAAACAAATGTCTCGTTTATCATTTATATATGGTGATATTCGTCTACGAATAAATATCACAACTTCTAATTAAGTATACACGTAAGAATGTATGACAAAATCACACATAAATTAATGTTTTATTTCTCTTATTATATCTGCTTATACTTTTTTTCGTACGCAACTGTATATATCATTTAAAACAAGCAAACAAGTGCCTCGATTAGCATTTATATATTGTGATGCTCGTCTACAGATAAATATTAATATCTTCTCCAAATCAATTGCTTAAACGTAAAAATGTTTTATATATCTTATAATATCCACTTATACCTTTTCGTATGCAATTTATAGGACTATTTACATCATTTTCCCATATTCATGTCTGTTATAGTTGTATTAATGCAAGTATATGCGAAAAATTATGAATACATCTCATTTTCAAAAGTGTTTAACTAAATAATTTGCCCCATTAATGGGGGAAGTTGTGAGGACTGAGGAGAGGGAGGGGTCATGGAACATTGAACTTGTCCCAAGGTATGCATTTTGTTTATTATTGGGGCCCAAAATTGGAAAACATAGGGATCCAAAACTAGGCTAGCTAGAATTTTAACATCTGAAAATTCTGAAAGCAACTTGCAAATTATGCCCCAAGGAGAACCAAGAATTGACACGCTTACGACTCATTCATATACTCATTCTTAATCTTCACAAACATTTCTCAAACATTTTAGCTAGTACTCGTACGTACTAGGTAATGAAAGTGTGGAACCTTTTATTTTCTTTTGGGGCTTGTCTATATTAGCCATCAATTCAGATATATAGTCATGTTAATTACGAAGATTATACTCAATTGTTATTCTCATCGTCTTCAAATAACAAGTCATGATTATATATTCTGTCGTTTTAAGAGAAGATATTGTTAAATTACCATCGTCAATTTTTTAATTTTCTTTTTGTAAATAACTTGGATATGTCGACTTAATTTTGTTATCCATTCTATTTAAAAATAAATAGTGATTACACAGTCCAATTAGCTGTTAAATAATGCGAATTAACATCTGAAGTATGTATTTGTGGCATACCATCATAAAGCAAGGTAATGATAAGTTTGTGTATGATTAGAAGAAACAATCCAATCCAGGACAACATGCAACGCTACACACAAACTCATTGTTATATCGCCTTTGTTCATGACCAACTTGTCCAATAGAGAGTGTTCTCTACCTCCCCAAAACAAACATGAGTATGAACATATCAAAAATGGAAACCCTTATTGACATACCATGAAGCTAGCTAGCAAAGAAGCAAGGCAAACTAATAATTGAATTGATTTTGATTAGTTCACAACAGTCGTTCCCACCCATGTGGAGCATTTAGTGACATAGATAAAAATTAAGGGGACCAATTTAATTTTGGTTGAAAGAAAGACAAAAGACAAATATGGCTGAATCCTTAAGGACTAAAGAGTCAGCATCTATCTGATCGATCTGCACCACTTAGCTGGGTTCCTAACTAACAACCTTCATTTGGAAGCTGTTGATAAGTACTTTTTGCTGGTGGTTTCTCACACACTTATGCTACTCACATGTCCCTATACATACGACTATATAATCCGATCATATATATGCATGATATAACATAACATTATACTTTCTCTGTTTTAAAAACATTGCAACATAAGCCGAGACACGAATATAATGTTGTGTATATATATATATATGCTCTTTAGTTTATATTTATCTATAATAATGGTATTAGATAAAAGATAATGGATTACACTGATTAAAAGTAAATAAAAAAATTAAATTTACCAAGGTGAAATTCTAGTTCGGAGTTATACATGTATTTTCTATTTTTGATGAAGATGTATTCTACTTTTGATGAAGTTTGTGGTCCAATTACACAGAATAAATATGAATAATTCCATTATGTGAGTTAAAGTTGAATGATCGTATGAAAGGCTGCCTATTGTTGAAGTGGATGGATGTTAAAGGAGAGTTATTTGAATGGACCACGACTCATTTTAGCTTAGGTATCATGCAAGGGTATGTCAACACCAATTCAAAATCCCAAGATATTTGAAGAGCAGCCTGAATGCATGCATGCTTGGAATATATGAAGCATAACACTGAACATATGTGTTCATTGCCCATAATTTATAATGAGATGTTCACAAGGACAAGGGACACCATTTTCCGTGTCATATCCCGATATTTAATACTACGTACGTACAAAGTACTCCGTCCGTCTAAAATTATTACGAGTAGTTGTTATATTAGAATACATACATGTTAAAGTATATCAGTAATAAAAAAACGTGATTAAATAAATTGGACTTAATTTTATATAATTTTTTTTATCAGTGGTCCTCGACTCTATCTGATAAACCCTCTCTGTTAGATATAACTAATTACTTTGGTCATTACAGAGTAGATTTTTTTTTTTAATTTAATTATGAGTCAATACCTATTTTATAATAACAAATAAGAGTTTTTTTATTTTAAATTTCATACTATGTGTCTAAACTAGAAAGAATAATCATATATACTTTAATATGTTTAGAAAAAGTTATCGCATTTATTGAAACATAATATTTTATGATTATTAGATACCAAAAACGTTTTTTCAAAAATTGATCTAGTAAAAATGGAAGAAAAGTTGTGCGAGAATGATCCACCTAATACTACAAAGAGTCATGTTTTTAAAAAAATAAATATTTTTTGCATCAAAAAACATTTGAACTATTTGTTGATATTGAGAGTGATGTCCACATACCATAAACATTGTACTTAGAAAAACGGAAGGACATGCACGCAATAGAATTATACTGTACGAGTATAAACTAGTAGTAGCAATTAAATTAAATAAAGTTGGCCTAAGGAAAAAAACAAGCAAAAATAAATAGCCTTACAATCAATAAATAATTAATACAGTATTTGAAATAAATAAAAGTCAATTAAATATCAGTCTTTGGTAGCTGAAAATGATGAGTCAGAAAATGAATGCCCATGAAAACTCATCAAGAAAAGCACAGAAATTTAAGAACAACCTGCTCCACCACCCCCTTAATTCATCCAACGTCAGTGGGTTAACATACTTAGACCAACCGGCCATTTTTATGGACCACCCACAATTATTTGGATTATATATTATGTGGCACTCTCTCAATATTCCTCTATTTATTTAATTCTCTTTTCCAAAATAATTAAAATTTGCTACTTCTACTGGAATATATTGGGCCATGGGCGGCCCAAGGTCTATTATTTTCCATGTTACATTATTATACCTTTACATGACGGTTAATTAAGACAGGTTCGTTTCACTTAAGTAAAGTGCGATGTTAGGATATTATTAAGATGTGTTAAAAATATTAGTATTTCGGATGTTATTACATTTTTCTCAATTTTCAAATATGTAGTTTTCATTATTTCAGGGTCTATTCTGTTTACATTATTTTCACTTAAATAATTACTAATCTTTTCCACATTGAGACTTTAAAGGTTTAAAAGAAACTTATTAGAGTAAAAATTACAATTAATACAAGCTATCAACTACCAAGAACATAATGTGTATTAGGTAGTTCTGACATTAATTTCTAGATGAATTTTGCCAGTAAGAGCTTAAATATCCTGCTAAGATATAAATGGAGGCAGGCCATGATGAACTAAGAACAAATTTAATTTGTAAATGCATTGAGCTGTATACCATTTTTTTTTAAACCCAATTTAACGTTAAATGTATGTAAATATGTAACAAGCTAATTAACATGGAATATATGTAGACCACTAAACTTGACAGCTTGAATTATCATTGCTGAAAATGACAGCTTGAATGAGCTTAGATTGATTGGCCGAGGCAAGAATATGCTAGTTCTTTCTCCTCAATGAGCTCCTTCTCTGTTGCATCCATCTTTGCTCTTGAAAACTCGTCGATCTTTAGCCCTACAACATACATAGATTCAAGGTAATCTCCCATGTTACACAAGCAATACCGCGCTACAACTTTTATGCCATGCTGTAAGACATGGATTGAAAGTGAAAATATTAGCTAATATTGCGTAGTTTATGATAATATTGGTCAGTTACATACTTGTTTTAAGATTGTCATTTTGGGATAGAGGCCTAGAGGGGTATATACGTATGAACGTACCATATATTATAAAAGCAAACATATTTGATTAGAAAAATATACGAGTAGCAATCAAGGTGAAGTAGGAGCTTACCCTGTACTATAGACCATTCTCCATTCTTGCAAGTCACAGGAAAGGAGTAGATAAGACCGTGTTGGATACCATAAGAGCCATCGGAGTACACTCCCATCGAAATCCACGATCCCTAGATCGAATAAAAGTTGTATACACATGAAGTGATGAAAAATTGAAAATATTGTTAAAAGCAAGAAATTTTCATAAAAGATGTAAAACCTTGTTTGTTCCAAGCACCCAATTGCGAATGTGGTCACAAGCTGCACTTGCAGCTGACAACGCGCTTGACAATTTCCATGCCTTGATTATAGCTGCACCCCTCTGCTGTACTGTAGTGATTAATTCCTTGTTTAACCTACTTATGTAAAGGATGTGAAATCGATTATAAATTCCAAGTTCCTACATTGCTACAAGTTCATATAAGGGCCAATAAGTTCAGATAAGGGAAATTCAGGTGAAAAGGACGAGTATTTAAGGTGTACCAATGATCATCTGCTACAAGTTCTCGAACACGCTTTACTCCATCGGTTGTAGTGACAGTTGCATGATTTACATCTGGATATAGTGTCGAAGAATGATTTCCCCAAATTATGACATTCTTTACATCACTAGCATGAAGATTAAGCTTCTCAGCAATTTGACCAATTGCTCTGTTATGATCCAGCATTGTAAGGCATGTAATGTTTTTTTCAGGAATCGAAGGTGCAAATTCCTTTAAAATGAGTGCATTTGTATTAGCAGGGTTTGCAACCACCAACACCTGTAAGAAAATTGATAACATGTTAAGGGAAAAAGATTGTAAATCCCAACAAGTAAGCTAAAAAGAGATGACTAATAAACTCGATCACCTTGCAATTTTCAGCAGCCTGTTGTTCAAGTGCAGAAGCCTGAGCTTTATAGATGGATACATTCTTTGACATGACATCTTTCCTTTCCATTCCTTCCTGCCTAGGAAACCCGGCTAGCATTATCGCTATGTCAACACCTTCACAGGCTTCCATGACATCGGTAGTGGCTATAACATCTGCTTAAAACAAGGCCAACATCATCCTCAACATATGAAACACTATAATGAAATGAGGGTGACTTTGATAGTGGAAAACAATACCTTTGAGGAGGGGAAATGCAGCATCAATTAGTTCCATTTTGACACCATTCAAGGCCTCTGCAGCTGGTTCTATATCGAGCAGATGGAGAATTACAGCTTGGTCTGGTCCGAGCATCAGCCCTCTCGCGATCATAGGGACTAACGCGTAACCAATTTGTCCTGCAAAATTCATTTTATTAGACCAAACTCCTTCCATGCATGCTAAGATAAATTAACAAATTAAAAACATTCATATCAAATTCAGCCTTTTGCACAGTCATATTTTTCAAGGGTGTCAACTTGTCCCTTAACAACAAGATTAAGTAAAAGAGTACTGATTTTTCTCTGTTATGAGCATATTCTCAGACAAAATCTTCAAGCATATTGTGACTCGAAGCCAAAATAGCAAGTCTTGTATAATACGAGTGTACAATAATAACTAGGACTATACAGACTTTTACGAAATGTATGACAAAATTACGAATAGATTTAAAAAATTGAAATTTGAAAGCACAGAGAAATATGAAAGACTATCAAGAGGAGTCAGATTGCATGCCTGCAGCACCAGTAACAAGCACCCTGGTAGGTTCTTTTTCCATCTTTACAGAGCTCCAAACATGTTTGACCAACAAATATGACAGTATAAAACAAATTGAAACAACCCCAAATTTCTCAACAAATTCTGAATTCAATTTCATTCCAATTTTTTCAAGTAATTGGAATTTTTCCATTTCCTCAACTAATGTAATCCCCATAATAAAATAAACTAATTAACTGTTGATGTTACGTCTAGCAAACAAAGTTGATCATTTTATAGCAGTTAGTAGATTAGATACCAATTCAAAGAATCATAAACTGTAGTTTCATGCAAGGCATGAAATATCAAAACCAACGAGCACAAGGTATTTAAAACCCACATTGCATTCACTTCAATGTCAAGAAAGGAATATATGAATGTCAAAAGCATCAAGCATTTGAATGCTTAGAATATCTTAAAAAGAGAATACAAATGTTATATGAAAAAGGTACGAGAACTTTACATAACATACACTTAACTCCTACTTGAGTAATATCCGGTCATGATTAAAAAGTACGAGTATATACATCCAAATGGAAAATCTTGATAGAGTTATGAGAAAGATAATGTTGAAAAACTTTATTATACTAGTATTTATAAAATGATACGAAAACGGGTAGAGACCAGGAAGGGAGTGTTAGACCCTAGGATCCATGGACACTTCATCTAATTGTCGTGTTCGTGTCGGACACCATGTCAAACACAGACACTCGTGGGACACACGACGATACGTCTTGGACCGTATTCTAGTATGATATGGATTGTTCAACTTTTTTTTTTTAATGAGAAAATTAAAGTGAAGTGAGATAAATAAGATAATTGTTAAATAATATAAATGCCTTCATATGTAATTTATTATTAATATGATACAATATGATCTAATGGGAGGGCGGAATGACAAATATATGGTCATATTATTTTGAGACTAGACCAGACCTAAGCAAAAAAGGTCCTACCGGGAGTCGAACCCAGGTCGCTGGATTCAAAGTCCAGAGTGCTAACCACTACACCATAGAACCCTATGTTGTTATCCATGTCAATTCTATCAATATTATTAATTCATTAAATGGATAAACTTGACACTCTAGTGAAGAGAAGAAAGCTGTACAAAGACGCTACTGAGAAAAACTTGCAAAGCTCGAAGAGAGAGAAAGAGAAAAGAAGAGAGGGAAAAATGGTGAGGTTGATCAAGGCATCATCGTCCTCCTTTTCAGCAATACGCCGCGTTTTAGGAAGAACAACATCAGCTCAATGTCAATGGCGGAGAACTCTCTCTTCTCATCCTAATGACGAGGTTTATTTTTTTTTCCTTTTTCCCCTCTAATTTCTTCTTAATTGATGATTAATTTATTAATTACAGTAATTAATTGATTAATTACGTTTTCTGATTGTTGTTTTGATCGATGATGGAAGCAGGTGTTGGTTGAAGGAAAATCTCATTGCCGAACTGCTATTCTTCATCGTCCTGCTGTTCTTAATGCTCTCAACACTAACATGGTAAATTCTTTGTTTTCTCATAAATTAAATTGCAACTATTTTTTTAATCTTTAATTTTTGTATTCGAGATCAATTTTATGCTTTAAATTGTTGCGTGTTTGATGTTTTTAGGTTTGAATTTGAAGTATGGGCTTAATCGATTTCATTTTCTGTTGTAACAAACTCGAAAAGTAGTTTTTCACTTTTTGTTCGTCCATTCTCAATATAATTGTGTTTAATATAAGAAAACAAAAATATGTGTTCAAAATAGTTCCAATCAGAATGAACTTACTTGCATAGTTGCATGATTGAACATTGAATGTTGCATAATCTAGTCTTGTTCTAACATTGTGCTTACATAGCTGGCTTTTGATCTAAACGTAGGGTGCGTTGCTTCAAAAGTATTACAAAAGCTGGGAAGATGATCCTGATATTGGATTTGTGATGATGAAGGTAGTTCAATCTGATTTTGTTTAGAAGTCTTTTCAATCTGTTTCAGAAATGATGGTGTGAGTGTGTGACGTTAAATCTTTTTTGTTTTCAATATTGGAAGGGCAGTGGCAAGGCTTTTTGTGCTGGTGGAGATATTGTTACACTTTATCGCCATATTAACAAAGGTTTGATCTTGACATTGTACAATAAAAGGTGTAACCTTGCCAATGCCACGACTTCTGCTTACAATTTTGCAACTTTTAGGTTCTGTAACTCTTTTTTTATTCTTTATTGTGTTTCATGACTTTCATTCTGTTTATTTCCATATGGTATTTGTTGCATTGCATGTACAAGCTCATAGATAGGAATCAGTTTTGTGACTTTCATTCTGTTTATATCCATTTGATATTTGTAGCATTTGCATGTCCAAGCTCATAGATCAGAATCCGGAAGTTTTAAAGTCTTTGCATACTTGGACAAGCAGTTTTTCTTTAATAGATTTATGTGAAGATAATGTTCATACCTTGCAGATTTTCTTTCTCTCTCTTTTTTTTTTTTTTTTTTTTTTTTTTTTTTTTTTTTTTTGGCTATTGTACTTTGTCATCCTGTTTGATGGATTCAATATCTGTCTTTCAATTCAGGGAAGATAGAAGACTGCAAAGAATTTTTTGGGACTCTATACACATTTATATACATGCTTGGCACATACTTGAAGCCAAATGTGAGTACTTTTCGACCAACTAACACTTTTACTGTGGATTTAATGGACTGATTTTAAATACTAACATCATGATGTAAAGTAGTGTTAACAACTGGATTTTTGCACATTCTTCAAGGAATTTTTTAACCAGCCACCAGACATCTCAAACGGTATCTGTGTGAATGTGTGATAGAATTGGAACTGACAATCCTATGAAGGATATTGTGTTAAAAGGGTACACATATAATTTCATGACTCTTAGCATTTCAAGTCAGGTACCTCAATTGATCTATGTTTCACCGGCTCTTGGTGAGGAGCTACCTGAAAGTGGCTTCATGTTTGTTATAATCTGAACCTTTGTCATCTTTGATGTTGAATGTGGTATTGTGGTTTGAGAGCCTAATTAGTTTGTGGACTTAATAGTTGTTACTTCTGATCTTAATAGGGCATTGCTTATTGGTAAATTTCCATAGAATAGTAATGGTATACTAATATACTATAGTAGTCAGCAATTATGTGAAATGACCACTCCTGATAGGCTGATATAGTGGCATCGTTTTTGCAATGTTTGATTTGTTACTTGTAGCATTGGGCTCTGTTCTTCTGTTAACTGTTGTACTTCTGAATGAAGTTGAAGAAGATATGAACCTTCAGTTTTTTTTTTTTTTTTTTTTTTTTTTTTTATTATTATTTTTTTTTTTTTATAATAATTTTTACTAGATATTTATGTAATGTATGTATAGGTTGCCCTTCTAAATGGTGTTACAATGGGTGGTGGAGGAGGTGTTTCAATTCCAGGGACATTTCGTGTTGCAACCGACAAAACTGTAAGTGTTTGCCTTTGATTTATGCTTCTTGAGTCATGCTGATTCTTTTTGTCACCTTTCAGAGCAAGATATATATACTTGACTTATATCTTAATATCAATAAATAAAGAAGAAACAGAGAGAAAGATATTTTGTGACTACCTCCCTACCTGTGTTTTAGCTTCATACTTTTCTTGGACTGGTTGAATGATGACTTTGATGAGGTATCTGGATTCTATCTAGTGAACCATGGATAGACCTTCGCAGCCTGTTGTTGGTTTGTGATAAATGTTGGTAGGGTAATGATTTTATTTGTCATTTTGCAAGGTAAAACTCTTGCCTAGTCCATGATAATGAAACTCCATCCTCAAATATGTTCTTTCTTCAAAAAATTTCATCACCACTTGTTACCACATCTGGAGTGGTAATTGAAATTTATGAAGAAAACCAAAATGGACAATTGTTACCATTGAGTCATTGACATTGGCATGAGACTTTGCTTTCAAATTTACATATAAAACATTACCATTACGATCTACCCTACAGGCTGTTTATGGTTTTAAATTGCAAGTTAATTTGAATTTATCTAAGCATAGAACTGGAGAACACTTCTGCTGCACTTTCTACTAAATTGATGTCTGCATTGAGTTTGGCACTATCTGTAGTATACTTCTAATTATGTTCCCTCTTTGTGATTTCAGGTTTTTGCCACCCCAGAAACTCTAATCGGTTTTCATCCTGATGCTGGGGCCTCTTTCTATCTTTCTCATTTACCTGGGCACATTGGTAAGATTAACCTTTCTCTTGAATGTGCTTGTGTTTACTTTTTACTATTGTCTTGTTTCCTCAAGGAATGCACTTAAAACATGGAAACATCTTGAGTAGTTTGAAATACTAGGAAATTATCAGTAAATTCTTCTTCCCTTCATTTTTTTTTGGGGGCTGGGATGGGGGGGTGTGGTTGTTGAATTTTATTAGCTTGGGGAAAGAATGGGCGCAATTATCAAATAAGGAGTAGGAAAGAGGCAAAAAATAAAACCAAGTAGAGAATAATAAAGCATAGAAAACCTATCATGTAGCATCTGTAACTTCTCCAGGAGAATTTTGCCAGAACCTGCTTTATTTGCTATTTGTTAACTAGTTCACCATTCCTTCAGTGCTTATAGTGCTCATCAAAGAGCTTCCATCCATATTGGCTGAGCATTTTAGCAATTCGACTAACACCCTTTTGAATGCTAAGATTGCTAACAGACAATTTGGGGTCACTTTTTCTGTATTAATTTGGACACACATTGATCTTATCCTCCAATATCTCTTAGAGTCTTATGATTTTTAGATTCCCACTGCATTTTTGACTTATACTTTATGCATGATAAAAAAATTCTTATTATCTATGGTTCACAAGCCTGCTTCAGCTCATTAAGCCAAGCATGTAATCGACTGAGTATAATAAGCAGCAATTAAGGATTGTTGTGAATTAGAATTCCATTGCTCTTCTCTTTAGCTCCTCCTCTTTGTAGTCTCTCTTCACCTACATTTTGGCTTTCTCTTCTGTCAAAGAGGGCCATTGTGGCCTCAGCCGTGCAGATAAAGGAATACTCCCTCTAGTTCAACATCTTCAACTATGTATTACTGGTAGGCGGTCGCACACCTAACAAAAATAATAAAAACCTAACTAAACCTCCTAATATGTAGTAGGGTAAGTCAGGGTCGATTGACGAGGGTTAAAGTGGTCGCTACAATCTAACTCTCAATCAAACAATACTTATACGAACACCCTATAACCAAGTACAATGGCAAATAAAGGTTCGGTCCACGAGGAACGAGAGTAATTGCAAATCAATCTTAAACCTAAGCTAGTTTGAAATCAATGGAAAATGGTGTTCTAAAATACTACTAATAAGATGGAATAAATCAATAAACTAAGACACTAGGGAGAACGGGAATCCGCCTAACCATTGGTAACTAAGCAACAAGGAATCACAGAGACAAACGGGATATGCAAAGACTATAAGTCTGATCAATATCATGTGATAGGAAGACAACGGGCAATACTAAGCTTGGATTTCTCATGCACTTAACATTACTCGATACATAATCAAACCACATTCAATAATGAAATACTCAATTCACAATCTCTTGTTCAAATCATGAATATCATGCAATCAAATTCAAGATTCTAGGTTAGCTACTCCTATTATAATGAATTAACATGCAATCGCATATAATCAATTTAATCACAATCCGTTTATCAAAATCAATCCTCAATTACATAGATTACCTAGGCCGGGTTTCATCCCGAAACCCTAGCTAGGAGACTACTCACACATATTCATAATCAAAGCAATAATGAATTCCAAAAGCATAATAGATATAAACATGAATTCTGATTAAGGAATAATAAAGCTTGATTAATAAACAAGAATGAATAATACCAATTGTATTGATGCGAATCAATGGAAAAGTTCAGAACTTTGATATCCGTCGTCAATGAATAATACAAAGAATCTTCGCAAATCTTGCTTCAAATCAATCCAAGAAAACTAAAATCTCTAGAAATATCTCTAAGAAAACTAATGAATCTCTAATACTAAGAACGTTCTCCAATAACTCTCTACAAAGGCTCTCAAAACTATATCTAAAACTCCCTCTGGAATCCTCTTAAAGTTGGGCCTTATATACGTCTTCTAATTCGGAGAAGTCAAGCGCGCAGTTAACCCTGGATCAGCACGGCCGTGCTGAATTTGGCACGGCCGTGCTAGCTTGTCAGTAAGTAAACCGGATTTCTTCTTCAAATTGGCACGACCGTGCTATATATGGCACGGCCGTGCAGCTTCCTGGCACGGCCGTGTTAAAAATGGCACGGCCGTGCTGAATATGCTCTAGCACGGGGCTCATACTGAAGCTGACACGGGCACGGGCAACATCTGGCACGGCCGTGCTAATGGCCTGCACGGCCGTGCGGGTGCGTGGATACTGACACGGCCGTGCTATTGGCTTGCACGGCCGTGCTGCCTTGCCTGGGGTTGCTTGCTTATAGGCCAGCACGGGTGTGCCTATGGTAACACGGCCGTGCTGCCTGTGCTATGTAATCAATGCACGGCACTTGAACTTCCTTAACTCCTCGGACTCCGGTCAAGGCTAGCTCGGTTACGCATCAAGGGCTCGGGATCCGATTAAACTCGGTTGATATTACCTGAAAACACACCAAAAACAAACCGAAAACCCGTGAAGCACGTAATATGGGGAACGTAAGCATAACAAGGTAATAATCGGCCAAAGCGGCCCCAAATACATCCAAAATCATCCTAAAATATGCTCTAAAGCGCGCCCTAAAGTGCGCTTGTCATCGATCCCACAGAGAAGGTTGGACTAAACAATGGTTTCTAAGAATTACAATAGCCGAATCAAGATAAAATAATGAGTTGAATAATATATACTATGAACTAACAAAATAAATCTAATAATAATAAAGACTCTAGAATTAAGTATTACCGCTAATATAATCAATACAAGATAAATTCCTATCCCAATCAATTAATTATATGCTCACAAGGAAAAGTAATCCCTAAATAATACCAAGGACCTCTCTCGAGTATCAATGACTTCTCTAACCCACAATCAAGCCTATTCTCATGGAATCATGCAAATTAGAGACATTAAGCACATTACTCTAACTTCCTAATTATCCATTCAATTACTCTCGTGATGAATATCAAACCCTTAATTGATCTATTCAAATCCGTTAAAACCCAACTCTCGCTGCGATTAAAACAATGGAATAATAACAATACTAATTATCTCTAATCTAGTATTGGCATAAGCGCAATCAATTAAGCATGAACAATATAAATAATTAATTGAGAATTTAAAAGAATAAATTAAGTATTAACCATATTAGGGTTCAACCTAAATCTAGAACAACAATCTACTCTAACATATTAACAAAAAAAACAAGAACAATAAATAATAAAGAAAACATGAATAAATAAAGAGATTAAAAGAAAATACTGAATCTTGAATTGAAGGTAGAAAGCTTGAATCTTGAATTACAATAGTAAAGGAAATAAAAAATAGAGAACTAGTTCTTAATAATAGGCATTGAAAAATAAAATAAACTTAATTAATTAATAAAACACCACTTAGTATATAAATAGCCCTAGAAAAGATAAGAAAGTCGGCAAAAAGCTTGGCGCACAAGGATCCCAGGAGGCACGGACGTGCCTAGTGTGAGGCACGGACGTGCCTCTCTAAAAACAAAAACGCTGTTGAGTCTGTCTTCTAGGCACACGTCCGTGCCTGGTGATGGGCACGGACGTGCCTGCTCTGCTGCGCGTATCACTCATCTTAAATCAGTCATAACTTCATATCCGGAGCTCCGTTTGAGGCGTGTAATATATCGTTGGAAAGGTCTTTAATGCAATTTGAATCACTCCATTATCATTTGTATACCAAAAGTTATGAGCATAATAGTGAACAGGTGTCATATTTGTCAAGTATTTCATCAACGTTTTGCTTCATTTTCACTCAATTAGCTCCGTTAATCCTGAAATACATCAAAAACAACGAAACTACCCATAAAAGCATCGAATCATCGAAACTAAACCAAATTACACCAAAATGGACTAAAACACTCGACTAAGCTAATAAAACCAACCAAAAATAAGCTAATAAATATGCACAAAACACGACTTATCAATTACTCGTATAAAATTTATAATATTATAAAAAAAAATTGTATTTGAAACTACACATCTAGACAAACCTAACAAGATCCCACATCTTTATCAAAGATTCTTTATAGCTAAATTTTCTCCCTCCTCAAATTGAAGAATTCCAAATGGGAGAAACAAAAAGGAACCGAGGTAGTATAATAAACATGGAATTATCAGAACTGAGAAAGGAAGGTGGGCAACAGGATGGATGTATTGGTGACTATGACCTGATGAATGTGTGGTGGTATGGGATGGACTACCTCTTGGTTAATTACATCTAAAAGAACAAAAGGTTTACTTTTTCAGTTGGTGAAGAACAGGGTTTGTAGAAAGGCTAGATCTGTTGGCTGAGCATTTTAATATTTTATGCATCTTGCATCCTAGTATAGTTTTCATCCACAGGAAGACAGAAACCAATGTTTATTACCCTACTTTTCCTCTTGTAGCATTAATATTACTTTTACTGGACAGGTGGATCTTTGATAGCATTCTTTTATTTGACTCAAGTTACTCAATTACTTTCAGTATTTTTTTGCTGAATGATATGGTTACTGCATTGTCAACTTAATATGGTACTTATCTGATTTTTTTTCCTTGTAGGAGAATATTTGGCACTGACCAGCAAATCGCTCAGCGGTGCTGAAATGCTTGCGTGTGGGCTTGCTACACATTATTCACTTAGCGCTGTCTGTTCTATTGCATTTTGTTCCTGATAATGTGTTCTTCATGTTATTGATGCAAATACTTACTATACTCTCTTGAACTTGACAGAAGCTTCCACAAATAGAAGAACATTTAGTCAATTTGGTCAGTGATGATTTTTCTGTTGTTGAGACTTCTCTGCAGGAGTTTGCTGACGTAGTCTCTCCTGACAATATGAGCATACTTCACAGGTTTGCTTTACTTTGTGAATTCTGATCTTTGGTTAGTATTCTTTATGGCTCAGTGGCTCACAATATTCTTTCTTGGTTTTTCAGCTCTATGTTGTTTAAAGGCATTGTCTCAGTGTCTTGTGCTCTATGAATGTTTTATTTACAAGGAACAAAACTAGGTGAAAGTTTAGATGTAGCCAGCCTGGATCTGGGCTTTTGAGTTTCTTCCTGGATTTCCACTGTATGGAATTATGAGCTCACTGAATAAACATTTTAAGTGTCAAACATGGCCATTTTATGAAAATTTTGCATGATCTTGGTTTGTATTGACAGATAGCTATTAATGTTGCCTTACTGTTTGTTCCTTGTATGTCTGTGTACATCTCATTTAATCTACTTGTTCAGGATGGAGACACTCAACAAATGTTTTGGCCATGACACTGTCGAGGAGATAATTGATTCGCTGGTACACTTATTCAGTTATTCTCCTAGTTTTTCTACCAGTTCTTACAGCTCTAAACTCATTTTCCTTTAGTCATGTATACTACCTTTGAAATGCCTGGAAAAATTCACATGTCCTGTTATGATTACATAACAAATTTAAGGACAAGGTTCTTCAGATGAATGCCATTTGGGGTAGGTGAATAGTTGAGAGAAGGTGCCAGTAAATGAAACTCCTGCATAGGATAGCAAAACTGTTTGGTTGAAAAATCAAACATAATATGTAAATATTTACAGCCAGTGGGAATATGTTGCTGTTCATTTATTGGAAAATTATGTGCTATTATGTTTGTGCTATTGCCTGCCCTATGTGTTGGATAACTGAGGTCAGTCTTCTTTTTATCTGCTGGGTGCTGCAATTGCCGCTGCCTCTCTTTGGCAATATGTGGCAAAGCTGGATTACACATTTTGCAGGATCATGTTTGTTGGTTTGGTGCTCAATATCTGACTTACCTCATGTTGTTTGATGCCTGTGATGGTAATTACATCTGTAAATCTTGCATTGAAAGAGGTCTATGTGTGCAATATTCTCAGGAAGATGAGGCAACTAAAACAGATCATGCTTGGTGTGCTTCCACTTTGAAGAGGTTGCGGGAAGTGTCCCCCTTGAGCCTGAAGGTTTCCTTGAGATCTGTGAGTTTCTTCCACCCATCTTTATCTCCTCTCAAGTTTAAGGCAAAAAAAATATTGTTTGCATCTGATGCCAACTTTATGCCAACAACTTATGTATAACCCATCAGATACGGGAAGGTAGATATCAGACTCTTGACCAGTGTCTTGCTCGTGAGTACCGGATGTCGCTTCAGGGAATCACTGGAAAGGTCTCAAATGACTTCATGGAGGTATTAATGTGTTACATATGCTTGTTTATTATTTCCATCCCATCTATGGTCTCTTATTATGCTCTTGGCATGCTTCCAGGGTGTACGGGCACGAATGGTGGACAGGGACTTCTCACCTAAGGTATTCTAATTCAAACATTTTCTTTTTGGCCTTTCCCAACCTAAATTATTCAACACTCCCCCCCCCCCCCCCCGGCTAATTATATTCTACGTATCATGTTTGGAAGTTTATCTAATAGGATTTTGCTTATCTGCAGTGGGATCCACCGAGTTTAGATAGAGTCTCCAAGGATATGGTTGAAGAATACTTTTCCCCTCTCAGTGTATCTGAACCGGAACTACAGCTACCAACAAAGCAACGAGAAGCATTTTTGTAGTGACTTTGAAGGACCATTACTATCCAAAACATTCAATTTGGGTGATTTTTGCTGTAAATAATCCTATTGAATTACTCTAAATGAGAATTAATCACTGAAATTGAAGCAATGAAAAGTTGTGTTGCAGCTATATCCGATTTAATTGTAGATTCATGTTGGATTCTCCAGATTAAGAGTCTATAGATGTACTCCAAATGGCTAACAGTGAGAGTTTGTATACATGTTCCTAACTGTTGTTTACAGAAATTAATGAAAAGTAAATCCTTAATTGTTTTTAGTATTCAAAGGAAAAAAATGGTTCTTTATCTATTGTCGAATTATTGTGCATCAACTGGAAGTACATTTTTCCAGACCTACCAAATAATTCGTATGTGATAAGAAATCATGCAACAGTTCAATCATAAATCTCATTACTAAGTAGTTTTAACTGAAGCAAACAAAATTGACTATTCTATGCCAAGAAAGTATTTCTCTCCTTGATTCAAATGTTAAAAATATCATGAAAATCCTGTATCCACTTTTAGCTTAACAGATTATACTGGTTGAATCTCTAGACCAGTGTGGCTGTGATAGTCACTTCCATTTTCAGAAGATGATGAGGAATCGCACTTGTGGTCTGAAGTCATTTCCTGGACTGGCGGAGGGTTCACAACAGTCATAGCTGTCATAGTATTTTCTGATAGTCGTCCCTTCATTTCTCTGTGTTCCTGGCATAGTGCACACCAGTGCATGCAGCAGTGCACAACACACGAATCACAGGGCGAATCCTGTATTTTATGTTATATCAGTAATTTGATCTCCCTATTATCCAAGAACATAATAAATATTAGTCCTACTCTTGGATGTGTCTAACAAAAGTTCCCGAGTCTGACTACATAGTTTGTCAGTAAATTTTCAGAGCTGACAGCCTGACATGAATATTGTGTGCTCTTCTGCTTAACAAAATTTGAGTACTACAGAACTAAAGATCAACTCTTCACACACTTAATTAAAACAAAGGATGATACTATACTGAGTATATTTTTACTGCGCTAATTACCTGAAGATGATACTTCTTTTGCAATTCTTCTCGAAATAAGCCATTGTATATTCCGCATATCCACCAAGCAAACAGCAAGCCCTCACCAACAAGACGTAAGGTGTTTGGATCGATGAAACCATTGAAGATTGATATCAAGGCGGCAATAGTGATGCCTCCTTCAACACAAATAGCATGGCAAATGCATGCGTTTGTCCAAGGGATTTCTTCCTTAAATCTTTCAACATTTCGACCAAACAGAACACAGGGGCAGAATAATCCTGTCATGCCTGCAAGTTACAGTAAAAAATCTTTTACGAACTTTGATTGGAATACAAATGTTTATAAGGCCACCAACGTACATGACAAACGTTGATAAATGCAGATAATTTTAACTCAAATCCATGGTACAAAAGCTAAAGTAGTTCACTTTCAACGAAATGTTATAAAATGAGGGTGTATACATGATCAATGATGATCAGTCAATAGAGACTTACAGCTATCATGATCTTGAGCACATCCACAAATTCCAGTCATCCACGGCTCATCAGCAGGAATCTCGAACCCAGCCGGTAGTTGTTGACCACACTCCGGGCATGTCTTGACATGCAACTGTTAAGTGACGCACCACATGTATGTTTATTTTCATGTTATGATCAATGTAGGAAATTCAAATTCAAACATTTTGAGATGTTGTAGAGGCCAAGGTAAGTAGTTTGCTTTAAAGTTCACCAACTAATAATAATGATTTTTATTATGATTGATCTTCTAAATGATATAAACAATAAGTTATTAGAATAAAGTTAAACCCAAGTAATTTAGTAAAATGAAGTCAGTCTATGAACTATGCATTATTGCCTTACTATGAATTTCTTTACTACCGATTGAAAAAAAAAAAAAAAATGCATTATTGCCATGTAATTTTTTTAGATTTATATCTTGTTTTAAACTATGAATTTCTTTACTACCGATAACCTTGTCATTCAATAACGTCATCCAAGGAATCCCATTAAAAAAAACAAAAATGTCATCCAAGGAAACAATTCACACTCTATTCAACTAACTTTAATTGCTGCATTGTCCCAACCTCTCATAATTAAGGATTTATAATGATTTCGCTAGAAAAAAACATTGCATTTGTCACTTTCCCCATCTTTCTCCACACTACCTTTTTTTTTTTTTTTTTGAAGGATTTCTCCACACTACCTTCTCTAGTGAAATCATGCTTGAAAATACGAAAAATCATCACAACATACTAATTTAAGCAAACAATATAAAAATATGTTATAGTAAACATAATTACTCCATAACATTTATGGTATACAATTTGTCAAATTGATACATCAATAACATCATACATAGTTACATACATGCAATCCTTACCAAAACCTTATCGATCTATCTTATTTTTGAATATGGAGTCATGAACAAGAAATGGTGTATACGAGATTCAATCATTTTGAATCTCTTCTTAAAAAAATAATTGATTCAACAACATCGATCAATAATACTAATTGCGAAAACAGAATTACCCGAAAGATCAAAATGTCTAAATGTTCACATGAAAAAATGTTCACATCAAAATGTCTAAATGTTCACATAAAAAAACTATTGATGAAAATAAACCTGAGGAACATGAACAGGCTGATTGAGCTCTCCAGGGGTAATTTCAACAGCTTCTTGCTCCTTTGTTAACTTCACATACTGTGATGCATTATTCTCCCCCATCTTACTCTATTCTAAATCTGCAATTAAATATCATACATTAATTTTATTATCTCATATATTTTCATAGAATCATACATAAATATAAAGTTTAAAATAAAAGAAATTAAATGAGGATATTGCTACATACTGTAATAAATTATCAATGTCTTGAATCTTGAAATTAACTATGATCAAGAGGTACATTTATTTGATTTAGAGAAATGTTATATGTAACAGATTTTAGAGTTTTGTCAGTAAAATTCGGTTCTTGTAATTCTATAAATGGCAATGTATAGTGTACGTATTATTTTTGCTAGTATTTACCAAATAAAATGTGTGTTTAACTTAAATTAAAAAAATAAAAATAAATAAATAAATAAAAAAAAAAATCGATGTAAAGTAGGAGTAATATATTTGATTAAATTGTAGTACAAAATAATCTTGTTATGGTCCATTAGATCAAATGTCCAAGCAAACCTGGTCAGTCTTTAGTTCTTGATAAATTTTAAATTTCTGGTCTTCTATCCGCTCCAATTCAATTTAGTTTATAACCAATAATGCACACCTTTAATTATCGATATGTTCGAGTATTCCCCACATATGCTGGCCTTGCCCATTGATGGGACTCTTTATGTGCCAATATTAAGTCTTGTTATGGCCCATGACATGTGATCAAATGTGAATTTATCTATCTTTTTATGTGTCTTGTGGCCATTGCCTAAATTATTACAATGTAATCCCTTATGCTTTTACACTCTTGATTAGTTTCCAAATTACTTGTAATCGTTTTGCTTGAAGAAAGTGCACATACGAATTATAACTTTTCTTAGTCCTTTAATTTGTCTCAAATTAGATGCTCAAGACATATTTCTTCAAGGTTACAATAGATTATAAATTTAGTATTTTGACGTTTCCTATGTACTCGTTTTTGTTTATCTTCAAAATTTTATAATTTACAAAAAATTTAATCATGTGAACTCTTGATATATATATCTACTTTATTGTGTGCTTTCACTAACAACAAAACATACTTAAATATATAAAATGATTTACAAAAATAAAATAAAATTTAACTAGTTTATGAGTCTAGCCAATGTTTTGGACTTTTGCATGCGTAAATTTTATATTGCTATGCTTTAATGTTATAGCCAAATCGTTTTTTATTTTATATATTTACAGTTCAATTGAAAAAATAACACGTAGTGTAATAATTCCCCTAATCTAAATTAACTGACACGTTTTGACTTTTGACACTATTTTGACGAGTATTTGTGAGTTATAAGTAAGGAAAACATATTATATGGGATCTTGTTAGAACTCTCAAAATATGTACTTTACATATATTAACTTTTTAACTATTACTTATTAATAGGAGTAATATTTACGTTTAAATTAATGTATTGATAAGCTTTATAAAAATACGTATCATCTAATTTAAAACGGAGTAAGTATTTCGTATTAATGATATTTGAACTTATTATTAGCTGAGTATAAATAATTATTATTCCTCTCAAAAAAAAAAAAAAAAAAAAAAACTGAGTATATTTATTAAAGTTATTGTAGTCATGAGTATTATTTATATGGATTTGCCGTCTCCTATACGTCCACGTCCCCTCAATTTGTAGGATAGATGAATAATCTTATACTTTGATCCGCTCAATATCTTGATTTTTGGTCCCCTCAATTATCAAACTTTTTATTTTTTATTTATTTTTCTGAAAATGATAAAACTGAGATTTTTTCCCGTCAAAAAAATGAACCCCCCTCTTTCTCACTTTCAACATCTGTTTTCTTTCCATAAATAGTAAAATCCATTATTTTGCTGTTTCTAGTAAAATAAGAGGCCTTCTCCACCTCTTTTTTCCCGAAGTAGTAATATATTCCTGGTGAGCTCTTTACTCTAGATTATTATTATTATTATTATTCTTATTCTTATTCTTATTATTACTATTATTATTATTATTATTATTATTATTATTATTATTATTATTATTATTATTATTTGTGTTACCTTTGTTTGTTACATGCCAAGTATGAATTAAACTACACATTAATGTATGTAGAAAGGCGACAAGCGTGCATAAATGAGTAAGCTAGCATCAAGGGTTATAGCTTACTATGTTGAAGTGGTAGTAATATTGATGAGTTTGGTATCATTGGCATTATCCAATTATCCTCATCATGCCACAACAAAAACATCGGAATTATATTCTACAATTGTTGATTTTCTGCCTGGATTTCCCGGAAAACTCCCTTTCACTCTTGAAACTGGGTATGTATATGCTTCTATACATTCATACAAGAATTTCTCAGCCTCTAATAGCTTGAGTTTTCAATGACTCTAATAACGCTTGTTGGTATTAAGCTGTATTTAGATACTACATTCTTCGTTCTATTTTGTTTGTTTCATTAAGATTGTTTTAAATTTGCCTAATGTTTACTCATATGATCTTTAATAAATTTAACTGATCTTTTTCAGAATTTCTACATACTACATTATTATAGTTTTAAATGGAATTTCAGTATCCCTCATCAACCCCTTGTTTGAACTTATTACCTTATCCAAACTTATATTTTCTAGCATATATAGGTAGAAAAATGGTAAACAAATAGAGCTTATGTTCAATAATTAGAAGATTAAAAGGCTTTAGTTTGACCATTTGTATCAATCGATTTACTGTATGTAAGAAAAAAAAACTCATGCAAGAACTTATTAAATTTGTCTCCATCGAAGTAACTTTTTATAATATTATTTTGTACGGAGTACTATGTACATTAGAAATTTAACTCCTTGACAAAATTTATGGAATTTTTTTTTTTTTTTTTTTTTTTTTGTGTGTAAATTAGAAACAGTGAAAAAAAAAGGAACAACGACAAACTAAATATTGCAAAATTAATTTTGATCAATGCAGGTACATTGAAGTTTGGGAAGAAGTGCAGCTATTTTACTACTTCATACAATCTGAGCAAAACCCAGAAATAGATCCAATTTTGATTTGGTTTGCTGGAGGTCCTGGTTGTTCTTCCTTTACTGATCTTGCTTTTGGGCATATTGGTAAATTTATTAGTTTTATCTCATCATTTAGCATTAAATCTAGTAACTTTTACAAACTTTTATATGTGGCTGACCACACTGTGTGCCAAATCATTATGGGGGTTACTTTGTTACTACTATAGGGGTTATTCACTCGGTGAGAGGTTATTAAGTCGGTCAGAGGTTACTGTGTGTGTCAGCTTATGACCAGCCGCACACAAAAGTTGCTGAGTAATTTTAATCACAATAATTCATTAGGAAACTTGGCGTATATATATTAATTGATGTTGAGTGTTAACGAAAATTTATGAAAGAACATAAGTTTCGATACGAGATTCCTTAACAAAATTATCTTTGACAATATGTATGATTAATTGATTACGATTTCTTTGTAATTTTGCACTTAAATTCATTTTCTAATAACCTTTGCTGTACGTGATGACAACAAAGGGCCTTTATCCTTCAACTTTACGGGAATTAATTTCAACTATGCAACATCAAGTTGGGAGGTTGATCTACCAAGACTTCAATTAAATCCTTATTCTTGGACCAAGGTACATTTTTAATCCAACTATCTAATTACCCTAGTTGGCTAGTTTTTTCTTCATCTATTTGGAATTAATAGTTTTATACATAAAATATTAGAAAGTTAAAAAATATTTGTTATTTGCTCATTTGTATATTAATGAGCAACATAAAGAATTTGAATTATATATTGTTTTAGCTTTTTAGTATACCTATTTAAAGATAATAATAAGTTATGTAGTTATATATTGTTAATTTTTAGAGTCAATATTTGATTTATATTGGGAAGCATTGTAGCTTAGTATATGATTAACAAAGAATAAATTATTTCATTTTGCAAATCAAAATAACAATATAATGAACATTTTAGGTTGCAAACGTAATATTTATAGATTCACCTGCTGGCGCTGGATTCTCCTATGCAACTAACAAATCTTATTACCCTAGTGATACAAAGACATCAAAACAAGCACATGGGTTTTTGAAGAAGGTTAGTTTGTTATTTGCGTAGGAAAGAAGCCTAAAATATGAAGTTGGTTAATTTTTTTCTAAAGTGTGATGCATACAGTGGCTTATTGAGCATCCTAAATTTGCAAGAAACCCTCTTTACATTGCTGGTGCTTCATATGGGGGAAAAGTTGTTCCATCTCTTACATGGGAGATTGTAAAAGGTACTTCCAATCCTCCCTTCATTTCATATAAATTTACTCCACAAATAGTATGGATATGATTAAAATTCAATCAATCTATCATAAAGATAGTCAGTGTGTAGTAGACCTGGCAAATGAGTCATTCGGGTCGAGTCTGGGTCGGGTCGATTCGGGTTTCGGGTCAAGTTCGGATCGGGTTAATTTCGGGTCAAGTATGTTCGGGTCATATTCGGGTCAGGTCAAAATCTGGTCGGGTCATGTTCGGGTTGTTTTATTTGTGAATCAAGCTCAAATGAATAATTTTATACGGATTATATATTTTGTTATTGTTATAATAAAAACTATCAATTCAATTTATGAGCTTAGCTACGGTTGAAAATGAACAATTTGAGTTACTTTTGGTACAAGACATTTTAAGTTCAATTATAAGGTAGTTTTAGTTCGGGACATGTCGGGTATTGGGTCTATTTGGGTCAATTTTGGGTATCGGGTATGTTCGGTTCAAACACTTCGGGTCAATTTCGGGTTGAGACAGGTTCGGGTCAACTCCATTTTCGGGTCGGGTATGGGTCGGGTCAATTTCGGGTTTCGGGTCATCGGGTTTGGGTCAGGATTGCCAGCTCTAGTGTGTAGGCCTCATTAAAAAAAAAAATAATAATAATAATAATTGAATGTAGAAATTGAATAAACAAAAAGTATTGGTATTGAAATAATTAACAATCTCCTGGTGAAATTCTATAATCAAAATTTTGTTAAATTTAAGGTTGGTCTTTGCTATGGTAACCTAGTCTGGCTAATTAAGATACTCTGGTGAAATTCTTCCATCTAATTCCAGAGTTTCACGTCCTTTAGGAAATGAAGCTGGAATTGGGCCACAAATGAATCTTCAGGTATGGTATAATTTAATAATGAATCTAATATACATACTCCTTCGTTCATTTTTATTCGACCTACCTTATAGTATGTTTATTGAAATTCTACCACTTTTTTTTAAAAAAATCATTATTTTCTCTTGATAATGTATGCATTAGGGATATATTCTTGTAAATCCAATAACTGCTTGGTACCTTGATGACCAAAAGAAAGTTGAATATGCTCATCGCATCTCTCTTATATCCGATGAACTATACAAGGTTAGAAGTTACTTAATTTTCTATATAATAAGATATTATTTATGTAATCCTTTTAAAATATTTATTGAAATGTAATTAGTTCTTTAATTTTCTATTATTTCACTAATAATTCATCATGTATCTTCAATTGCTAGTCTGCCAAATTAAGCTGCAATGAAGATTATCGGACAAATGAGGCTAATAAGAGTAATGCACAATGCAACAAGATTCTTGAAGATGTATCAAATGTGAGTGGTTCCACTAAGCTATTTTTTTTTCTTTTCCTTAATGCATACTTTTACCAATTCATATTGTATAATTTTTAAAGCATTCTCATTTTCAAAAAGATAAGAGTATATAGTACACGATCTTGTATACGGCTTTTAACTCAATTAACAAGATCATCATATATACACTGTATATGGACTTAACCTATTACGGAGTAGAACTTATTATAAATAGTAGTAAATTGATTTAAACTTAATAGCTTTAATAAATTGTTATTTGAATTTATTTTCATTAACTTGTCTTATTTGAACTTATCAACACTTAATTTAAATTTTTTTTTTTTAGCGGGATCAATAAAATTCAAGTGTTATTTTAACCTACAAAGTGAAGTAATGAGAATTTAAAAGGCACCAAGTTGTTGATTCATATTTGTACAAGATTAATACAGTATAATATAACTAGTTAATACTTGTATGATATTGGGGCATGCAGTGCATTGATCCACTAGAAGACCAACATGTACTGGATCCTAAATGCACCCATTCTTCTTCGCCAAATCATTGGTGTCGGGTACGTAGTATTGCTTCAATATTTCTCTTCATCCTTTTCAAATTGTATTATACAAGTTGATAATACATAGAGCAAAAGTTTATTTACAGTTATTCAAAATAAAGTTGGGAAGATTAATTGATTATGTTGAGAACAAAAAAAAACTACCAATTAAATGGGTTAATGATTGAATTGCCTTTTTTTTGTAGGGAAATGATCGTATGATTGCTAGCCAGTGGGCAAATAACATTAATGTCCAAGAAGCTCTTCATGTTCGAGAGGTAACACTCGATTTAAGATTTCATAAACTTGTTCTAATTTTATTTTCATTGCATGTCATTTCAACTTTTGGTATATATATATATATAAGTTTAGCAATTAATAGGTACTTTATTCGTTTCATGCATATTAGTTGCACTATTTTAACTGAAATAGTTGGTCTAATAACCTTGAGATTGTGTATGTTTAGGGAACTATTAGCCAGTGGATTCGTTGTCGCGGTCACGCAAAATCTGATGTGTTTATGTACAATAAAGATATCGACAGTAGCATCATTTATCATCAGAATCTTACCACCCAACCTCTCAGGGCACTAATCTTCAGGTAATCCATATATGTTGTAGAAGCCTTTTTTTTTTTTTTTTTTTTTTTTGACAGGGTTGTAGAAGCTTTACATTAACAATGTTTCACAATATTTTTTTAAAATTTTTACAATATACTTCCTATAAGAGCACACAAGATGCATTAAATTAGTTAGTGGTTTAATTTAATCAATTTATCTTTTTTGTAACATTGACAATAATGTTTAATTTATAATTACTTTGACTTTGTGTAACAGTGGTGACCAAGATATGAGTGTTCCATATGTGACTACACTAAAATGGATCAAGGAGCTTAATATCGCCCCAAATGATGATTATTGGAAGCCTTGGTATCTTAATAATGGCCAAGTTTCAGGGTAATGTATTGAGAGTTATTACTTTGTTTATGTTCAAATTAATAACCTATAACTAAAAATTTAGAATAGTGAATGAACTTCCTACAAAATTATACTCCTCTAATATTTTAATTTGAAGTTGTCTTTAATTTCTCTCAAAATCAAAATATAAAATAATACAAACCTCAATTAGCTAGGGAGTGATTTCCATTTTAATTGCTAAAATAAATCAAATAAAATTCCACAATTACACTACTTTTTATCAGAATTCCCTATATATTGTCCAGATTATCCTCTTTAAAGTATGATATTTTTTTTGTTTAGAACTAAACCAAGTTTTTATAAGGTAAAACCGCTAATTCTACACGCCGAAGTTCATCACTATATCTAATTTGGTTTGATGTATATCTATCACTGGTGGTATTTATTATTGGCGGTGTTAAATAATTATAAATACTTCTACATGAAGGTCATCACTATTTACTAATCTATAGCTTTATGCAGATATGTAACTGAATATTCCAATGGCTACTTCAATTTGACATTTACTACAATCAAGGTATAAAACGCCACTCCATATAATTTATTCCTTTATTTTTATTTTTTTTATACTCCGTGTACATAGTGTTTTTTTTTTTTTTTTTTTTTTTTTTTTTTTTTAATATATATGGCCAAATTAGGATTATGTATTACTCATTTGGCTCCAATGCAAATAAAGCTTCAATTCCTCTCAAAAAAATAAAAAATAAAATAAAATAAAATAAAGCTTCAATTGATATTTTTTTTTTTGCAATTGAGAAATCATATTAAGACATTATTAAATTTGTAGCATTGCATAATCATAAATTAATCAATTGCTATTTTTGTAGGGAGCAGGGCATGTTGCCTCCGAGTATAAGCCGCGGGAATGTTTTACAATGTTTCAAAGATGGATCACATTTAGTCCTCTATCATAATTTCATAAATATGATCATATTGATCAACATCGCCTTACTAAAGGTAATTCCTCTTTACTTACTCGAATAAGTAAGGAAAGAAGTAACTATGAAAGAACTCACAAGACTGAAGTACCAAAGGTGCGCTCCGCCCATTGACTAAGAAATTGGTTTGCGCTTGAATTGAAGTGATGAGGTCGCAAAGAGGAAAGTAGGGCTACTATTGACTTATTTGTAAAAAATTTGTACTTGGACTTTATGAAATATATGGGCTTACATTAGACAAACTTTTAGCAAAATGTTGAACAATTTTTTATTATATTTTAAAGGAATTAATTGAATAACTTAAACATGCACAATTTCACTGACCGAGTAATTTTTATAACACTAACCGAAAAAACCCTGAAATACTAGTGAAGTAATCCCTATAATACTGATCGATTAATCCCCGTAACACTAATGAGAAACCCCTATGATAGCTGGCCACACGATATGGCTAGCCGCATATAAGAATTTGTGTTCAAGTCAAATCTAACTATATCAATATGGCTTTGAAAGTTATAATAGTGAGTTGTAATAATCAACATTTTTGTAAAGGTTGATCATTAAAGTAAAACCATAAAGATTACAAAGGAACAGAGTACTACGAGTACAAGTCTACAAGACTATTTGTAATTGTCAAAGTTAACAGACTTAAAGTGAATGAAGCTAGAAAGGGCCGGTAAATCTTTTGCTCCTTGATGTAAAAAAAAAAAAAAAAAAAAAAAAAAAAAATTATATTTTGCCAAACACGCCTTAAGTACTCCATATAAAACATCTTACTACACGTGTTGGTTTTCTATTTATGCTTGTCAACTGTCAACTCTAGGGAAAAAGACAGAAAAGAGTTGATAAGAGACTATCAATGATTGTCTCATTTCATAGAGTCATAGATTATGATTAGTGAGCCTAAACACAAACAAATTACCATTAATTCTACCAATTATGAAACAGAGCAATATCAGTAAACAGAGTTACTCTGTTTTTCTTCTGATTTTATTGATCAAATTATCACCATTAAATTCGATTAATTTACCAAATTCACATTCAAAACTCGTCAAATACCTACCTGGCTTTCCTGGAATTCTACCTTTCAAGCTTCATACTGGGTATGCTCACAATTTTACATCTTTTATTTATTTATTTATTTTATTTTGTAATCTTTTTATTATTTATGCTAATTATTCTGTATAATCTAAAGCTGCTTTTTGAATATTCAACTTTCGTAAGATTGTCACTTTATAGTGAATTTTCGAATAGGGGACTTAATTTTGTGTTGGTAGCTATGTTTGATACTGATTGTAATAGATGATTTGGCTTTATACATATTTCTTCAACCCAATTACTATCTATGGGGTCAAAATAATAATAATCTAGACTGTATTTTATGATGTATATAAGATTTCAAAAATAACACGTGCAATCTTGTTAGATTGGTTTCAATAAAAATTTACAAATTTTTAACTTTTCATAATTTTCATTTTTCACTTACAATTTTAGATACTAATGCTAACATTAGAGACCATTAATAAGTCAAGTTTGTCCGAAATTTATACTTGGCATAAACACATTTATGCAATAAATGTCCCAAATTTTGATCTTTCGGGTTTGGGTTATGTTCGTTTTTAGGGCTGTTTTGACTCAATTTTGGGTTTGAAGTGCATTTTTTTTTTTTTTAGCAACATTACACAATATTTGCTAGGTCTACTTAACTCTGAATATAATGGGTGAGATAGCTTTGGATTTGAGCACATATTACTATAGGATAATATTATCTTATGTATAAATGTTAATATTCTTAAGCTTGGGTTTCATCATGGACCATGAATGTTGTAATTGTAGATATATTGGAGTGGGGAAGGGGGAGGAGGTGCAGCTATTTTACTACCTTATTGAGTCCAATCGAGACCCGGAAACCGATCCACTTATGCTATGGCTCACTGGAGGACCTGGTTGCACTTCCCTGTCTGCAATTTTTTTTGAACATATTGGTAATTTGATGTTTTCTCTATCTTGTATAAACTAATTCTTATTTCTATCAGTAGAAGCTAAATTCTCTAGTAACCAAACTAGAATGTGAAGTAATTTTGTTGGAGTATTTTGTGAAAGAGTAACAATGTACTTGGGAGTTAGGAATGACAAACAAAATAGAAGTTAGAGACATTTACTCTTCCATTTGGAGATTGTTTGCTGAACTGATCCAATACGATTATACAAAGTATTTCTTCGTACGATCATTGTCTATTCATGTGATGCGTTATGATTGACACCAAATATAGGATTAGAACCCCTCATGTACTTTCTTGTCTCGCTTTCAATTGGGATGAGCTATGATTGCCATTTGTATATGAGAGTTGGTGAACATGACTTACTCTCTCATAGCATTAAGATGACTAGAGTGCATCAACTGACTTGGACTAAAAAAGAAACTTAGGATAAGCATGGTCTACATATAACATATTGTGTTGACATTGGCATATGCATATATTCTTTGGTGAGTCAGATCCGTTCTAACCACATTCTGCCAATTTCCTTAGACCCGTTGTTGTTATCTGCAAACCTTACTTCAGAGTTGTCACTTGTCAGTATGGCCAAATCCCTGTTAAAACATTCTTCTCTCTGCTGATATATGGTACTTCAACCACACAGGTCCATTATCTTTTAACTATACAGGCGTATATTTCAACCGTACTACATCAACTTGGGAAACCGATCTACCGGCTCTTCAATTAAATCCCTACTCATGGAACAAGGTGTGTGTGTAGAATCTGTTGTTTTGTTATCATCATGTGATACTAGACCATATGACTAAAGAAATTGGGTGATCAAGTGTTTTTAACCGTTCTGTTCTTTCCTTAATAACAGGTTGCCAACATACTATTTCTTGAGTCACCTGTGGGCACTGGATTTTCTTACTCAACAACTGCTGAATCTTACTATACTGATGATATAAATTCATCAAATCAGATCTATGAGTTTCTACAAAAGGTCAGTGAACCCCTTTCTGTAGTATCTAATATCACTGAAGTATGATCAGCACAAGTACTGTCTAGAATCCTTGATAACATGTAAATTGTGCTGATGGTTGATGGCTTTTAGGCTTTTGGTTCATAAAATTCTTGTACTGTTGTCCAGTCTTGTTAAACTTGTTCATTTTTCCAATTCTTATATGTAATGTACGCAGTTCTTTATCGAGCATCCTCAATATACAAAAAATCCTCTCTACGTTGGTGGTAGCTCGTATTGTGGACTTATTATCCCATTTATCATGCACAAGATTGTAATAGGTACTGAACTTTTGGTAATCCAACTTCTTATATTGAAAGAAATTAATTGAAAAACTTTAGCCTCAAAAAAATATGGGTTGTATATGTGTATACAGAGGCCTTACAACATATTTGTTAAACTTGTAAGTAATCCATTTCAATTTCTTACCCTTTACTCATTGTTAAAGTATGTGTGTCATCTAGGCAATGAAGATAAAACTGGTTCACCGATCAATATTAAGGTATGATACGCTCACTATCAGAGACTATTACTGTAGACATAAAAGTTGATACACTTCTTTATAATATTTCAGGAGAAACAGGACATAATATAGTTTGTTTCATACATAGAGAAAATGTTAACAAATTGATGCAGTTATATTTACCGCTTTATTGATCCAGGGATATGTTCTCGGAAGTCCTGTGAGTGATCCAGATGAGAGTGATTTAATTGGGAGAATCAATTTTGTTCATCGTGTATCCCTATTATCAGATGATCTTTACGAGGTACATATTTGAAACTCAGCATCTTTCATGGTTGAAAACTTATAGCTATATTTCGATGAGTGTGGTCAACACTGGGTGTTTTCGAGTGAACTTAACTGAACAAAGAGTAACAAGGCTTTTCATCTTGCTGAAGGTAAGCAGAGGTTTTGTGAAAGCAAATTTGACATTAATCTTGATTCATGTATCTTGTTAATAAAAAATAAAGGAAAGAAAGAAAGAGAAAAGAGGCAGAAGTGATGGTACAGTAATAGATACGAGTATAATTCAAAATTTGACAATGCTTTATGTTGATTTTGTTGAAAAGAATTATTCATCGTTTGTTATACTTCATTTTACAGTCAACCAAAGTAAGTTGTGGTGCTCCGAACTGGAATGTTAGCAATGCAGAGTGCAAAGATAATGCTCAGACCGTATCTGATGTAAGTGATTGAGTAATTGCTCTACCTTCATCCTTGGTATACATATATGTGGCTGGTGTTGGGTTATTCTTGGGGTTTCTTTTTCTTTTCTGCAATGTCTCTTTTAGTTCAGTAGCTCGAGCTCTTGTTTGTGAAATGTTAATTAGGGATGCCTATTATCGTGTTATTTTGCATCGATCTTGTGAGCTCTCAATATGCATGTCAGAGTGCAGAGAAACAATTTTGTTAGAAAAAAGTGCTGAATCAAGTTATTTAGCTGCTTAATGTTAGAACCAAAGTATATGTGTCTATGTGATCTGTCTTTTCAAAAGAGAAGTATTCAATCATAGTATTGGACCAACAATTACCTCTTTTGCAGTTTGTTGCTCCATTAAATGATGATAATTTTTTGGAGTCAAAATGCAATGATTTGTTCCCAAGTAATTGGTGTCGGGTATGTAATTCCATTGCTCTATATCCTTGTTCAAGCTGTAGTACTGTATCAATAACCATTTCTTGTCTTCTTTCCTGCGGTATAGAAAAACTATAATTTGATCATCAGCAATTGGGCAAATAACGTTCAAGTTCGAGAAGCACTTCATGTTCGGGAGGTAAGCTGATCAACATTACTATTCTAATCATGAAAGGCCACTTCGAGGTTTATTTTACTGCTGATTAAGTTCAGAAGCTGGTTAATATTATGCTCGTCGTGATTAAATATAATTTCATCACTAACCTGGAATTGATTTTAGGGAACAGTGGGTCATTGGACTCGATGTAACATGACACTGAAGACTCAATCATACGCTATCACAATGAGAAGCAGCTTTGTTCATAATCAATATCTTGCAAACAAGCCTATTAGGGCACTTATATACAGGTAATACCGTAATAAACATTATAGTTTTTCTTTGACAAAACTATAGCCAATGTGAATATCCTTAAACTACCTGATAATGTAACTTAAAGAAAGAACGGAATATATACATAGTCATATTAAATACAGTGACTATAACCATAGTATAGCTATAATACATCCAAGCTGAAATATCCTCTTGCCTCTATCTTAGCCTGCTTGCTGTAGACAGTGGCAAACATTTGTTCCGAAAAACTTTGTTTTGTGACCTCCAAAAGCCGTAGACAGTGGCTGCAACCTGCAATTTAGCTTTAGTCAGCCTACTTCCATAGTCTCCTTATATCCTCGCCTGTACAAGAAACCTGCAGTCTGTTAACGCAGTCAAAGAAAAGGTGAGAAATGGTCTCGTGGAAATTGCCTCAAATGAGACAAGTATCATCGTCATAGTCATAGACCATATACAACATGCTCTTCGTTTTCAGCTTACCGCATGGCCAACCAGCATATGCAACCATTCTCTATTACATTAATGTTAATTCCAAATAATTTTGCGCTAAGATACCTTTTGCACCTAGGGCTTGAACTAAATTACTCCCCTACTGTCAGGATAATTTGATATCACTGATATGCTACGGAAAGAGAGGATCCCCTTGTCTCAAACCACATTAATAGGGAAAAAAACCATGGAGGGAGCTTTTAGATATGTAGCATAACAGAGTAGTAACCAGCTCATTTTTCAGGAAATGAATAGGGGAGAAATGTAAAATGTGCTTGAAACATGTAATCAAAGTTCTATTTGCTCTTCAACAGTGGTGATCAAGAGCTGAGTGCTACATATGTGGGCACACAGAGATGGATCAAGAAGCTCGACGTACCAATTGATAATGATTGGAGGCCATGGATTGTAAATGGCCAAGTTGCTGGGTAATTTGCTTGTACTTCTATTCTTTAGTAAAAATAACATTTTTCCACTGAAATTTATTGACTTTGTAGTATTGTGTTATGCAGATATGTTACAGATTATTCAAATGGTCACTACAATTTGACATTTACCACAGTCAAGGTATACTAGACACATTATATATTCAGTTATGCTTCTCCCATTCAATTCTTTTTTTTTTTTTGGTCAAGAAAATATTATAGTAATTAAATATCGATTTGTGATGGTAGGGAGCAGGACATTGCCCTTCAGAGTATAAACCTCGAGAAAGTTTGTTCATGTTTCAAAGATGGGTTGGACAAAACTATCTCTAGTGTGGCGATAGTTAAATTTGAAATTTTTTTGCCCGGAGGGCAGTTGTGAAAATTTCAGAAAAAGTGCACTAGGTAATCATCAAAGTTATTATCCACCCAGCGCGAGTTTAAATGCTTCTTTCATATTCCGCGGTTTTGCCTATTGTAAAATAGTATCTATGCATATCAAGGAAAATCTGTGTGAGTTGACTTGTTATTGATTGATTTTAGGATGAAACCTCCTTCGAGAATATAAGTAATCTTGCTCTCCCTTTTATCAGAGTAGAAAAGCTATTTCACTATTAATAAAATTTATCAGCGTCGTTTACATGTTATATGATTAAGCATTTGAACCTCCTTATATCATTGTCTTAATTAAGGAAAAGGAGAGGAAAAGAGTGAATATAAAACAAGGTTAAGTGTGAGTGTGTGACCTAAATTTAAGATAATCCCTCTGTTTTAAAAATAAATGTCCTAATTTGTCTGGGCACATATGTCATTGTAAAAGTTTGGCCAATAATTTTTATAATTATCAATAAATATAAATAATAAAAAAAAAATTGATAGAGTACTCGGAAACAATACATTGAGACAATTTTAACAAATACGCATATGACTATAAAATTTCTCATGTATAAATCCTCATATTGTTAGAGTAGATCATGTAAATAGTGCAAAAAAGTCAAAATGAGGCATTAATTTTGAAATGGAGAGAATAAACACTCATTAATGCTTCACTTTTTTTTATTAATTGAAAGGGTCTTGTCTGAACCAGTAAAAGAACTAGAAAATTACGTTGTAGGTAGAAATGTTGATTTTGGGCATGAAAAGAACATATTCCGGGTTTCCACTTTCCACCATTATTCGTGTCCAAAATCCTTCGAATTCATGTATTGAATCCCAAGCGGGCGAAAAACTAAAAGAAGGAAAAAGATGCTAAAATAGGGTCATTTTGTAAATTCTATAAAAAATTACCATCGAAAAATTAATTCCCAAAAAAAAAAAAAAAAAAAAAAAAAAAAAAAAACCTCCTAGTAAAAAAAAAAACCTCCTAGTAAATTAATTCCCAAAAAAACCTCCTAGTAAAAAAAAAAAAAAAAACCTCCTAGTAAACCTCCTAGAGCTAACATCATATAGAGAACATGAGTTAACAAAGTCGTTATCTATCTACATGTTTTGTCACAAGTCACAAAATACTTGCAATTACTTTACTTTTATTCCTTCATATTAAAAAATTTAAAAAAAAAAAAAAAACAAACAAACAAACAAAAACCAAAAATACTTAGTATTTCCTTCACTTAAAATTGTATGACCGAAAAAATACACACAACTCAAACTAAGAAGAAGATAATGGGTGGTAGACCAACAAGTTTAGCCGCAAATTCTGACCCTTTAAGCTTTGCTGCACCAACGACTTCTTCTTCTGTTGATTCTGTTTTCGGATCGGTTCCCACTCGACTCGAAGCTGAATATGCAATTACAGCCTTTCAAAGGTATTAAATATATTTCGACCGACCTTTTCTTGTACTATATAGTTGTCTTCATCCTGTTCTTAAGGTTTGTTGCTTGCTACGATTTTTGAGTGATATTAATCATCCAATTACTGAAATATGCATGAGATATAAGTAATTACAAAAATGGGATATTAAAATTTCAAAGAACCCCTCTAGTGTAAGATATTAAGATGAGTTTTACAAGCTAAAACAGAACATGCAAATAGTCTGATGAAGGGAAAATTTCAGTTTCATGATGCAAGGGCTTTCTTCATCAATATCGATATTAGATCGTCTTCAGCCAATTTTGAGCCATGATCAACTGCAGTCTACTGGATTCCAAAGGGTTTATGATGCCTTTCTCTTACTACAGACAGTTCCGTATGTTCAAGTAAGTTCTCATAAATTGTTCTGCCTTTAGCAATTAGCATCATCCCCTGATGTGTAGTACGGAGTAATTGACTAATTGTAACCTGTAAACAAAGGATGAGAAGAAAAACATGATGAGTAAAACATCTTTATTGCATGCAGAGAATGGTGGTTTCCATATCTTCTGATAAAGCTGTGTGGGATGCTGTAATGAACAATAACGAAGTTCAGGAGTTCCGTCAGTCAGTCAATCAAGGTACATTTCAGATACTCTGTACGAAGTACTTCATGATATTAACACTGCACTTATTTAGAGTTTTTCTATACTGATTGACTGAAGAATTGCTGATGTATGAAATGCTGATGCAGCTAAATCAAGCAGACATCAGAGGTCCGATGAGGAACCTGCCTTGGTTTCAATGATTCTAAAGTGGATTTTGGACAATATGAAGCTTAAAGTTTTGCAACTGATTGAGTCGTTGAAGTCAGTAGTCAGCAAGAGCTTCGAGTCCTCCCAAAACAAGAACACAACAAACCCTGAATTGAAACATGGGTTCGAGGAGATGATTGTCTCGACTGTACTTCTCTCTACCATTACTCTCATGATTGTGCTTGTAACTCGTGCCTATGGGGCATAATCATTATCAACCCTGGTTAGTTTGGGCTTATTAACATGTGCATATTTTGGGTATTGGAATCAGTTGATATCCAACTTGTGTAGCTACATTAAGGATAATTTTCAACCTATTCAACCCTCTTGAAAGAATCTGCATAGATCTTGGCTCCCCGGCTCCTAAAAATAATTACGGTTGATTGCTTAACCATTAGACACCTAACAAGGGCGGAATGTGTATAGTATCCTGAAGCCAAGCTTTTGCTCATTATGTTACTTTAGGTAATTCATTACCCTAACAGTTTTGTAACTAATTAGGATAGTATAATTTTTCCCCAAATTAGACTTTGCGATTATCTGTAGTCTGTATAAAACCTTGTAAAATTGCATACAATTAACAAGTAAAGTGCGTCAAGAAGTTTAAAAAAAAAATATATAAATCAATGTCTTGCAGTTACAGTCTGTTGTCTGAATTCAAATCACTGAATGCCTTTTGCAATGGTCTAGAATCACAAATCAGTATAGTTTAATGATTACACTTATTGTTTAATCTGATGGCTCAATAGAACATAATTTGCCCCGAAGGAGGATACATTCAATCAACGACCTGAGTCACCTGACACGAATGCATGACTGTCTGTAAGTTGACATAATTGTAACTTGCAAATTCAAAACACCGACCCCAAGAGCTTTGTTTTCTGGGCTCTTAGTCAGTAATCAATGTCTCACTGAGCAGCAGTATCAGGGGAAAGGCAGAGCTAGTATTTGGCCATTTGGGAACTCTCTTGGTCTCAAATTAGTACTAGTTGTTTGATTGGGTTAGGAATAAGTTATTTTGAGACAATTATGGCAAATAACTATATTCCATCGCAATTCTCACAAACTAGTTTGTTTATATTCTATTTTTGGCAGAAAAGAACGCAGCTTAATAGACCTGTGGAACGGTGTATGACCATCTTACACTCATTTAATGTAAGACGTTTAAAATTTACCCCGAAAAAGGTAGAATCAAGAAAACATCTCCCTCTACCTGTCTCATACTACACACTAAGCACAAATTCAGCCACCTTTCCTTAGTATTTTCGCCTTTTCTCTCTTTCTACAAACAGTCGTGGAATCAGACGTGGTTAGACTGATTTCCACAACCTACTTCCTCACAAGCTGCCTCATCTTCGTCATTAGCGATAAATAATTGGTACGGAGTACTTGTGATAGCAAATCAAATTTCTTTCTTTTCGTCATGATCCATAAGGATGCTTTAAGCCTAAAGCTGCTAAACCCAAGTTCATTATAATAATCAGGAGCTTTAACTTTTGCGTTTGGAAATTTCATACTTTCATGTTTTCTGAATGAATCCATTAAACAATTCGGTATTTTCGATTTATATAGCAGCCATATATTATAGAGACTAAGGAATAAGAATACTAAAAACTAAGAAATAAGAAATCTCTCCCCTCGATACTTTCCTCAATACACAAATTGCCCATTTCAATTATGTCAACCTTCTCCAAAATTTTCACATTTTCTTTTATAAGAAAAGATAAAATGGAAGAAGAAACTGGTAAAACAACACCACAAATTTTTAATTCGTTTTTAACATCAACTTTAGCTGACAGAAATGAGATTGAGGGTCAAATATCAACTGATAAGTTTTGTATTAGTTCTGTTTTTGGGTCCGTTTCCACTCGAGCTGAGGCTGATTACTCCATGACAGCCATCCAAAGGTATGAACAGCATAGAATTAGGACCTAGTCTCTTCTTACTTGGTTTCCTACTATTTCTTTCCGCTACTTCAAAGCCTACTTTGTATTGTTGGGGGAAATTAGAATTGAATCATAAGATCGTAAGACATATACACGGGTGCTCTCATTGACCTGATCTATTGATTCCCATCAAATTTCAGTTTTATGAACCTTGATAGCCCAAGAATGTTGGCGGAGAATGCCAGATTTCAACAAGTAGAGGCTGCTTTCCAATTCATGAAAACACCAGGGGTTCAGGTAACTCTATTTCACAAAAATTTACAAACTGGTGATGAACCAAAAAGATGATCTCAATCTTCTTTCTGCATGCAGGATATGGTAAAATCAGTAATGTGTGACATAGGCATCATTACTGCTATGTTGAAGAACAGCGCGGTTCAGGGGTTGTTAAGATCTCTAATGCCAGGTAATTCAGCAATAAGGCTAATAAACGGCACCACTAACACAGCTGCAGCACTTGCAGCAGACAGTTCTCAGCCTCAGGGGTCTCAGAGCGAACACAGCTTGGTTTCAATGGTTTTGAGCTGGCTCTTGGAGAACATTGGGAGTGGACTTCAAGGAATTTTTGGTACTCTAAGGTCACTAGTTGATAATACACTAGAGTCCCCTCAAATTGAGAACATAGGCTCTGGTTCCAATTCCGGGCAAGTCATTCACTTGACTCTGTTTCTCTCTGTCATCAATCTCTTGATTGTGTTTGTGAGGCGCGCCTTAAAACAAAAGGTTATGGTTTAACGTTTTTCAGATGTACAAGTGTACAACTGTTTTGTGTCAATTTGATGATTCATATTTTCCCTTTGATTACTGGTTTGTATCCCCAAGAACCCTAGTAGTGTTATCACAATTATGTACCCTCCCTAGCAGTATCACTTTCTTTTTAATGGTTTGTTACATAAATTGGTAAGTTTCTTACGCTGTGATAGAGAAGGTTACTGTCTTTCTCAACGTTTTAATGTGATTTATTTTTATATTATAACAATTTTACCAGTAGTCGTTTTATTATACTATAAGTAGTACTTTATATTTTTATAATATTCTTCTATGTTTGATGCGCTTACATGTCACATTGCACCCTCTAACTACTAGTTCCCACCTAAAAGCTTAAGAATTTCTGCAATTGTGGTGGTTGACTGGCTGCCATGAAGGTTGACATGAATTCCAAGAGATGTAAAATAGTTGCCACCAATCGATGACATCATTGAGAAATCGACAACCATCACTCTCTTTAGTCTTCACTCTCCCTCGGTCCCTCCTATTATCTTTCTTCTCTCTAAGTCCAAGCTTTGCCCTTTATCCTTTTTCTCATACCTCCCCATCCCCAATCTCTCTTTCTCTATATGCTCTGTCGAAATAACTGGTGTATTCCTGGTTTTCACAACATACTATAGTGCATTACTACTACAAGGATGATTAACAGAGAACTTACTACATTACTACTGGAAGGAAAGATAAAGAGGTTCGAAAGGGGTAAAAACTTTCTGCGATTATAGGCTTATAGCAACCCAAGTGCATAATAAATTCATCAAAGATGGTGGTAGGCTGGTAGTAGCCATGAGTAAGATGGTGGAGAATTATTTTTTTCTTTAAACTTAACTGTCACATTACACTTGACTGAAAATTAGCAAAAATTAATAAAATGCATAATGCGCCAAAATTAAAGGGACATCATATACTCCTTATACTACATAATTATTTAAAATATGTCATAGAATTGTCAAAACTAGAAAGATGAGGTATCCACTCTACATTTGATTGAGTGCCAATTCAGTACAGAACATGAGATTACAAAAAATTAAGCACAAGGTTGAAATGTTTGCAATAGTAATCGATATTTACCTCATTCCATATTGAATTAGACGTAAATTAAAAGATTTAACAGAACAAATTGGCTGGATTGAATCCTCTGTCATGCATGACTTGAACTGGCCTCAGTAATCTGAACGGCAAACGCTTTACAAGCTTCTCTAGGGAAACCCCTGGCAATTAGTAAGTAAAAGAGAACACCAAACTTGAGAAGTTAACTGCTCCTATCTAGGAAGACTCCAAAATTTAACCCCACAATCTTGGGGCCACTAGCTCACGGTCAGCAGCTGAACCTTCACTTGCAAGATTCTGGATGCGAAATGAAAACTCTTCTGCCTAAAATGATGAGAAGATATAAGCAATCAATATTAATCACACTTGCATGTAATGAACAGCTAATATGCACAAAATTAAGCACAATAAGAACAGTCTCTTGACTCATAGCAACCACTTATTAATCTTATTCTATTTTATTCTTGAGTGCAATTACAAATCTTGGAAAGGGTGGAGAGTGCTGTGTATCTCTGCATGTAGTACATCTCTAGCAAAAGTATGTATATTGTGTTATGAAGCTAAGCAGCCAAATCATCTTAAATCCTAAATATAATCCTCAGAGTAGAGGTTCACATTTCTGCCCTGGTCATGTAAATCAATAGCAGTAGTAGAGGTGCAGTTAGTCAGTCAGCTAAAACACTAACATTCCTGAAACCAACTTTCCAGTAAAAACTTGGTGCTAGAAACTTTCTTTCTTTTTTCTTTTTTTTTTTTTTGGGGGGGGGGGGGGGGGGGGGGGGGGTTGGAGCAGAAAAGGAAAATAAAAATCTCATTACACGTGAAATATAAGATATTTTGAGGTTTAGTAAACAGCAGTGTCACTGCAAAGACAGCAGACAATTATGTCACAGTATATATTTTAAATCATGACCTTTGCCGAACAACCTTTGCCAGCAAAATTGAAACTGAGAAAGGAGGCTACAATTTACTAACCTTTTCATCAATCCACATCAGAGAACTCAATTGATTATTCAAGATCCTCACCACCACGTCTAATGGACTCATTCCTTCAGTTGTATCAAGTTCTCCACCCTACATAGCAAAAATTAATGTATACAGTTTCCGGGAAAAAAAAGTAAGATACTAGTAAAACTAACATGGCATGGAACATATCCATACCTGACTAGCATTCAGGGACTGAATAATTGATTTAATCTGCTCTGTCATGTGTTCTAGCTCCCTTTCAACAGATTCTGCCTGATCATACCTGCGCCACCAACAAGTATTAAAGGCAAGTTCAGTATATTTCAAAGATACTATCTGATGATTGTGTGTTACTTGTATCGACAGACTAAGCCCACAATAATGCCCAAACTTGTGTACCAAACACAAAATTGCAGAAAAGCAACAAACTCTCCATATTTTATTGGAGAAATCCGTCACTGCCAGCTAATGATCCTTAGGGCATCACCTCTAATAGAAAAAAACACACATTATATCAGATGGTTCCGACCACAACCCTTATGGCCATTAAGTAACCCCGACAATATTATCGAATTTTGTCAGCACTCCCTATCAAGCCAGGCCCCAATTGAATTACAACTTGCAAAGTGTAAGTAGGATTTGAAAAGGGATCAGATGGCAAATAATGACACCAGCCAATCCTGGATAATTGCCCAGGAGCTGAGATAACTTCTACCTTATGGCATTTTTCACCTAGGAAAGGGATAAAATAGACACACAAAAAGGACCAATAACACCAAGTACTTACATTGCATCTCTGGTGGATGCAGCTTCATCATCTAGAAGCAAATTTCGTTCATCCTTGTAGATACGCTCGGCTTCTTCTTCAATACTATCCAAAGCTTTATCAACCTTCAAGAGTCCAAAACATAAAGTAACATAAGAGCAAACAAGGGTGGATTTAGTCTTTAGAGTTTAGGGCAATGAATATTAGGGCTGGCAATCCCTGACCCGACCCGATAACACGACCCAAACCCGACCCGAAGTTACTGAGAGAAACCTGACCCAAACAACCCGAAATCGACCCGATTTGACCCAAAATTCATATTTCGTAATAATATTAAGTTTTACACAATTTTTGATAGTTTCTAAGCATAACCCGAAATCTGACCCGAACCCGATTTGCTGACCTGAATTGCCACCCCTAGCAATGATATGATACAGTTCCATAAGCAACACAATAGTGGAGTTTCAAAAAAGTAAAAGAGAATAAAATTTACCCCGACACAAAATTTGCACTTCAAAGAAATACAAGAGAAATCTGTAGCTGACGGTGGAAAAATGCATACGTACAGCTTTGTATGCATTTCGCAGATAGTTATAAACTGTACATAATATAACATCCCCGGCTCCCTGCAGACTTGTAAACAGCCACACAGAATTTAAAGAGCCAATGCTCAACTTTCTGTAGGTCTCAGCCGTCTCACTGTGAATCTTTAACAGGTGAACTTAAAAAGACACCCCCCCCCCCCAAAAAAAAAAAAAAAAAAAGGCACAAATCCCACCCACACCCCTTCAAAAAGAGAATGCCACCATCGGATACAAAAAGAAACAAAGGTTTGTTTTAGCAGTTTGAAGGGTTGCACTGGGGATGGAGACAAACAGAACTCTACAGCTAAAGTTAAGTTCAAGCTTGGTTCATTCGCTGATGTTCTATGTTTGGCTCGAATTTAGATTATTCTTTTAAAGCCAAACTCGAACATGATTTTAAAGTTTGTAACAAGTTCAAGATTGATTATAAAGTTTAATCAAACCAAGCACAGAGATGTCGCTGTGTGGTTTGGCTCAGCTCGTGGCGAGCCATAGGCTAAACTGTAATTTAATCAAGGTCATGTGAGCAGAAAAGCATATGAAAAATGCTGAAATTCAGAGTTGACACTTATTCTATTTAAGAAAATCACATATCACAGATTCTCAGGTACACTTATTAAATTGGCTAGTATGAAGAAAAATTATAGGAAAACATTTGGACCAAAATTAGTTCCTACCTAAGAACTTATCATATGCAGCAGTAAACAATGAAGCCAACCTTGAGAATTCAAACCAAAGCAAGCTCCAAGGAAATCAATATCTATGAGTTAAACCTTCTCCGATAGTAACTGTGTTCAGTCCATACATTGGTGTTAAAAAAAAATGGATACTGAGAAGCGCCAAAGACCAGTGCTTCAATCACCATGCTGCCTTACAGAGTGACAGCACAAGACAGACTCATTGCTCTTTATCACATCCAAGACACCATCATAGAAAATCAATGTAATTGATAGAAAAGCAAGAGATTCAAGCCAAAATGAAGAAAATCCGTAATTTAAACTATTAATACTGCATTATACTCTGTGCAGAGCCAGAGCATTGTCACAAAATTATGAATAGCACAAAGTTGAAAATAAATACCTCTTGTTGATGAGTCTCGATTAACTCCAGCTGTCTTTCCAAATTGGATTGGGTCTCAACCACTTTTGCTACTTCGGTCTGATCCGTGATGAAATTGCATCAAGATTGAAAAAAAAAAAAAAAACAGGGTTAGAGTACAGATAAGCAACGGAGCAACTGAATAAAAAAATAAAAAAAAACTATATGCACTTCGTCATACATCTCTCTGAGAAACCAGTATAGCTAGAAATAAGTTCATCTTGATTGTTTTTTGATTATAAAGGACTCCTAGTCACACGCTCACTTCTGCCTTCCAGCACCCCTTACCTCCATGGTTCTAGAGCCAATCTAGAGTGCCCAATGAAACAGAGTTCTGCTCCAGACATATTCCAGATTTCCAGGTGCTAGCCTCTTTCGCCACTCGAACAAGGATTAGAAAGCTCTATTTTACAAATTAAGATCTATCATGTCTTTCTTAAGAGGATGCCTTGTTCTCCAACTCTCCCCTCCACCTCAATACATCCTTCTCTTATTTACTAAGATCTCTTTAAAAATAAACAAGTCCATCCACATTCCCATTAATTATCACATCATATTAACAAATACACACATGCGCTCGCGCGCACGCTCAATTAGATCATCAAAAGAAACAAGATTCCCAATGTAAACACATACAATAAAAGACAATGGTTTAACTCATTTAAGCTCCCAAAATAACATTAGACAAGCAGACCAATGCGTAGGGATATTACTGAATTAGAAAAGGCAGGAGAAAATTCAAACAAAATACCTCAAGTCGTAGAAGTACATCTCGGTTTTGCAAGATTCTTTTGTCCCAATCAGCAATTGCATTAGCCTGCTTCTGGAATTTTCTAGTACGGTCTTGTAATTCAGAGTTCCACTCCTTGATGATCTTCCAGCCAGAAAGTCCATAGAAAAACCACATGGACATAATTTTTTCAGATAACAAGGGGAAGTCCAGCTCGTACAAGATAACATTATAGAAAAAAATTGTGACAAAAAAATGCTGTCAGCATGTTTTCCATGTTATAGAAAAATTGAAGTACCTCTTCAACAGTTTTTCCAGTGATCTCAGAGGGCAACTTGGGGGTGGGAGCAGATGTTACAGGGGTACTCACAGCAGAGGTAGTTCTACATAAAAGAGAGAACATGAGCACATGTCAGATAAAAGGTCCAAATACAGCCCCTCAAAAGTAAATTTTGATGTCAGTACAATCAGTCTATTGGCACATAGAAAAAAATAATTTTCTCGTGGTGGAATGAAAGAGAAGGGAAGATAGAAGTGTTCAGAATCCACAATATACATCAATTCATTGCTATACCAGAGAAAGAGATAGAAGCAGAAATTTTCTAATGAATAAACTTCACTTGCAAATCAGGATGGTGCTGAACAATGCTAATACTGACAAAGGTAGCCAATATTGCTTCATTGCAACAATTAAGCCAATAATGTAACCAAAATCTAGAAATAGCTTTAAAATATCATTGTTGGCACTAAAGAGAGTAAGATTGCAAAATTAACAGAGAGATAAAAACTTCAATTATAGGAAATTATGTATCATTGATTTTGATCTACAAAATAAAAGGCACTAACCCACTACTTGAGGCTACAGCAACAACAGAAGATGTTTGTACAGCAGTTGTTGTAGAGCTGGAGATGGCCGCTGAGACAGAAGTTGTAGCCAGGAAGCCTAAAATAAGACTCATTAGACCACTTAACAATTTCTTAAGGATCATAGGAATAATAGAAAACAAATTTCTCATCGAATGAGGCAAGCTTCAAGATATCGTTGGTTCATAACCCATATAATAAATACTTTTAAAAAAAAAAAAAACAATTATAAAAGGTAGTAGTGTCAAGATCCCTAATCAGAAAAAGGCTCTTGACACTTTGGATGCAATCGCAATAGCAAAAACTATCATATGTGCTTTGAAGTAAAGAGCCACTGCTTTACACTACGTAGCTAGTATATTCTTGCAAGATCATCACACAAAGCATCACACTAGACTACACTCTACTTCAACTTTACTTCATTTTTCTTTCACCGACATATGTTCCTCAGAGAGATTTGGGTCGCTTTTAAAGGATTGTACAATTTGGATGCTTTCTTCTCAAGATCTTGAAACTTTCTCAAGGCATTAGAATTTCAATGATTATCTAGCTATAACCAATTTTAATAGCCACTTCCTCCATGAACTCCAGAGACTCATTCAGATTCGAGTTCAACCTAGATTGGTCAGAACAGAAACTGATTGGGTTTTTTTTTTTTGCTCTACTTCTTCCTTCTTACAATTCCAACAAACCTCCTAATTGTACTACCAACAAATAACATAACAGTATAATATTTGCATAAAATCTCATGTGTCGGATTGGATACACTAGGAAACTATACCATTTTTCAAAATTGTACTATATCTTAGAATTATCATGGAAATGCAACAGGAAGAAGTCTCTTTTACTCCCCCACATTGACAATAACAAAACCAAACATCATGAAATCCCAGTAATTCTTACTTCTGTGCATATTAGCATCAATTTAAAACCCAATCAATTGAATGGCACGAAATTTAGCAAAGCTCACCAGTAGCAGGGGCAGTAGTAGCAGTGCTAGCAGCAGCAGTACTGGTAGTAATAGTAGAAGCAGTTTGCTGAGGCTGAGATTGAGAAGCTAAAGCAGGGGTAGTAGCCTTAGTTGTAGGAATAGTAAAACTCGGAAACGAAGCAGTAGCATTGCTCAAGGAAGAAGACCCAGATGAGACCCCAAAACCAGTAAACGCAGTTGCTGCTGGAGAAGCCGCAGCCGCAGCCGGAACCGAAGCAGAAGCTGCTGGTGTCGCCACAGTTGATGAATTCAGTGAAAACCCAGTGAATGCAGATGAAGCAGTTGATGCAGCAGCAGTAGCAGCAGGTTGAGATGATGAATTCAGTGAAAAGCCAGTGAATGCAGATGGGGAAGTTGATGTAGCAGCAGCAGCAGCAGGAGGTTGAGTTGATGCAGCAGGGGTTGTAGTAGCAGCAGCAAAGGGAGAAGAAGGGGTTGTAGTAGCAGTAGTGGTAGGAGTTGAGAACAATGTTGTTGCGGCAGCAGATGGGGGAGTAGCAGGAGTGGGAGTGGCACCAAAGAGCGGCTTCGAAGCCGAAGCGGTGGCGGCGTTGTTGAAATTGAACAATGAAGATGATGAATTAGTACTGGCAGCAGCAGACGAAGCCGGTGGCGTAAAGGGAAACGCCGTAGAAGGCGATGAAGCTGTTGCTGTTTGAGTATTCAAGAATGAAAATGCACCTGTAGAAGTAGCAGATGAAGAAGAAGCAGCCGACCCAAATAGAGACGACGGTGCTGCAGCAGAAGAAGAAGCCGACGCAAATAGAGACGACGGTGCGGCAGAAGAAGAAGCAGCCGACCCAAATAGAGACGATGGTGCAGCAGAAGAAGCCGACCCAAATAGAGACGACGGTGCAGCAGCAGAAGAAGAAGCAGACGCAAAGAAAGACGACGATGCAGCAGAAGAAGAAGCAGCAGACGCAAAGAAAGAAGATGGTGTTGAAGCGGAGGAGGTGGTAGAAGCGGCGGCGGGAGAGAAAGAGAAGGCAGGAGTTGCAGCGGAGGAGGAAGGTGGTGTAGCAGAGGATCCAAACCCGAATAAAGGAGTGGAGGAAGACCCGAACCCGGATGCGGCGCCGAAACCGAGTGATGGGGCGGCGGAGGAGGAAGGTGTAGCAGAGGATGCAACCCCGAATGCGGGAGTGGAGGATCCGAACCCGAATGAAGGGGTAGCGGAGGAGGAAGATGCGGCACCGAAACTGAGTGATGGGGCGGAGGAAGCGGCGGAGGAGGCGGAAAATCCGGCGAAGGAGGGGGTGGAGGAGGCGCTGAAGGGGGAAGGAGAGGGGGCGGCGGAGGAGGTAGGGTTAGCGGCGAAGGGAGAGGGGGAAGGGGAGAGAGAAAATGGGGAGGGAGAGGAAGAAGAAGAGGAGGTTGAAGAAGTGTTGGTGAAGGAGAAACCAGTGAATCCCGCCATTGATGGGTTGCTCAAGCTTTTTCTGTTTCAATGGAGATTGAAGAAAGAGAGTTGAGTTCTTCGGGGGAGGGAATTTGGGGGGTTTTGATTTTGTAGCTTTGGACAGCGGTGCTCCGACGGGTTTTTTTTTTATTATTATTGTAAGCGAGAAAATCCAAGTCTCTCCGATAGAAACAAGCAAAATATAGCAAGGGTCTTTACGTCATTTCACACTTAATAATAGAGGTCATTTTGGAATTTCACGACTAGTTGTTATTTGCTTCGTGAAGAAACCATTAATGGAGAATGGAGTTCGAAGAAACTTCAATGGAGAAATTGAAACTCAAGGGCAGCGAGAATGGAGGAGGTGACACTCATTCCCTTTGAGGCTAACATCCCCTTAATTTCACCTTTTTTATAGGGTTTTTTGTTTAATTTAGCGGCAAAGCCGCCGAGAGCAGTGGAAACAAAAAAAAAAAACGGTGTGGTTGGAAGGTGGAGACAAAGAAGATGATGGTGGACATGGTGGTTTTGGTGGAAGGTGGTTCGAGCTCCTTCAATGGTAGGAGGGAATTTGGGGGGTTTTAATTTTGGAGCTTTAGATAACAGTGCAGCAACAGTAAATTTATTTATTTTAAAGTTTTGGGGTTAAGTATATAGTTTCGAAGATTTTACGACGAAGAATTTTTAATTTAGGTTCCATTTATTTTGAATAGTTGTGGTTTTGGGGTAAAGCGACATGGTCGACAAATTAAGACCCCTAAATCCAAGGGCCCCAAATTATAGATATAGGTTAATTAGTTTTTTTTTTAAGATAATAGAAAACTCAATTGGAGTCTTGGTTAAAGTCTTTGTGTTTAATGTCAATATAGTCTTGTTTAATTTGTACAAGCTGAGACCATTTTATTGGAAATCAAAACTGAACGAACTCTTTATCTCCCACTGTCAGGGGTGGTCGGCCCAAAATCTAATTCTTCAATATCATATTAAATAAAAAAAAAAAACATTAAATGATGTACCATACGAGTAGTTTTGTTTAATAATCATCGAGTATTTAATTTACACATTGAATACAGGGACTCATTTTGAAAAGTTGGACATGTTAGGTTTTCAGTAATTCAAGACAATAAGAATTACTTAATATTGTGGGAACAAAACCTAAACAGTGTATAATTAATATCAAATTATACAACAATCCAAATACTAACCAAAGTATTACAATCCAAACACCAAATATACAATGTAATTCTGAAATTACAAAAGAAAACACTAATGTGAAAGATATTACACTTGCCTCAACTCCAAGCCTTTGAAAACGAACATGAACATGAGAAATACAATGACCACTTGAGTCTTGATCCTTGATACACTGTCTTAGGCGTGCGAACACTTTCCTAAAGAGTTTAATTTCCCCCACAACGGTGCTTGGGTTCAATCCGGAAATACTCTTTGAGATACAAAAGACAGCCAATTGTTCTTTGCAATAAGAAACGAATTGAAGATGACTAATTCACAAAATTGGATTAATTGGAAGAGATTTCTCACAAAAGTTTGCAAGAAGTTTGAGAGAAAATTGTGGAGAATTACTTTGGAGAGATACAGATTAATTTCTTCAGTGTAAAAGCTTTTACGAAATCAAGCCTTTAATAAAGACTCAACCGTCAGGAAAACCGTAAAACAGGGTGGCGTGGGCGCTCCTTATCAGATATACGAAATTTCCACAGGAAGGCAGAAGGGGGCGCGGTTTAGGCGCGACCAGCAGCGCGGGCGCGCCAACCTTACTCTTCCAAAGATCTAAATTCCAGAGAGGTACGCGATTTAGGCGCGCTCTCTGCGCGGCCGCGCTTAACTTGCGCGGGCGCTCCTTCATGGTCACGATCGCGCAACCATCAACACTCTAAATATTCAACAGGACAGGGCCCCATAATCATAGATTCATAACAACATAATAACCCCCGGCACTGATTATAAAGGAAAACATTTTTGAAGGTTAGAAATTAAAGTTCTTGTTTAGGGTTTAAAGTTCAGGGTTAAGGCTAGCCTTAGGCAAGCACATCAGCTTGACTGAGGCTGGTGGTGAACGAGATGCTGAGTCTACCTCTTGATCTACAGTTGGTGCTTTCGGTTCCCCGACCTCGGCGAGGTTAGGGTTATGGTTAAGGTTCAAAGTGTAAGGTTTAGATTTGGTTTAAGGTTGAAGCTTTATGGTTAGGGCTTAGGGTTTAAGGTTAAGGTTAAGGTTTCGGGTTTAGGGTTTAGAGTATAAGGTTAGGGTTTAGGGTTAGGGTTAGAATTTAGGGTTTATGGTTTATGGTGGTTTAGGGTTTAAGGGTTTAAGGGTTAAGGGAAAGGTTAAGAGAATAGGATTTAGGGTTAGGGTAAAGAAATTACTAATTTGCCTTTGAATTTTTAAAAAGTTATATAAAAATAAAAAGTGTAAAATGAGGATTTTTTTTTCTTTTTTTTTTTTGTGAGAAAGAAATTTTATTTATTTTTGGGTAATAAATCAATGGAAATCAACATAATAATAATGATTAAAAATTATACAATATTTTTTTTTAAAATAATAATAATAAAAATAATAATAATAATGGATAAGGTTGATCAAGACCATTGCGCTTATGGATAAGGTTGTTATGCTTGATGATCCTCAGTGTGAGCTATTGTTACTTAGGGCATGTACTGGAGTTTTTAAACTCTACTTTGCATTGCGTACTTGTCCTCCTATTACTTTTGAGACGGCTCAGTGCACATTTGACGGGGCTTTTCGATCTTCCTTGGAGCATATTGTTACTACTTCGGGGCTTGGGTTTGGCGATTAGCAATGGCGGCTTGCCAGCTTACCATTTGCGTTTGGAGGGCTTGGGGTATATTCCGCAAGTGATGTTCGTCATTATGCTTTTCTTGCTTCTCGATTACAATCTGATGGGTTGCAGACAAAACTTTTACAACATGCTGGCATTGTTGGTCTTAGACGAGCCTTTGAAAATGCGTTGAGTCTGTTTAATAAAATATTGGAGTTTGACATTATGTGTAATCCTAGTGAGGTCGCTGCCCCTATACTCATGAAGAAATTGGCCGATATATATTTCACAAAGGTTATCGCTTCTGCAGAATCTGCATTTTCTTTGTCTCCTCGGCAATCAGTACTGTGGAAATCGCAGCAGAGAGATCACACCTCTGCTTGACTTCGGGAAGTCCTTATTTCTTGGTTGGGTCAGACGCTGAACGCAAAGACCTACCGATGTGTGTTGTGCTACCGGATGGGTGTTCCATTGTTCTCTCTCGACGCCGTGTTTTGCTTGTTCTCGGGTTTTTATTGGGGATATTTTCGGTGATCACGCGATGTCGTGTGCTGGTATTGTGGGTATTAAACATCGGCATAATGTTGTTCGGGATCAAGGATTTCAGCAAGAAAGGAGGCTGAGGGGCCCTTAGACCTACAGATGTGTTGCTTTATTTCTAGAATCTGTAGGGTTTCGTAATGACCCGACACTACGCGGAAGGAAACCCACCAAGACCCGCCCCTTAATTAAAGCAATTAAACAAGCATGATAAACTTAATCAAACAAGATTAAGGATAAGAATTATACCTTTGACGCGTGCTTCGCTCCCAAGGAGCTCTTACTTCAAAATCTCGAAAAGACGAGATCTCCGACGGATCGTACCCTCGACCCGACCCGAGCGTCCCAAGTCTTGAAGGTTAGTCCAGACCCGGACAAAATAACTATGAGTTTTACGAATCAAAGGTTTACTCTTTTCTAGAATTGCCTTTTTAATTCCACTCAAGGTTGTCTCAAATCCCAATACCAAGCTTGGTATTTATAGGGAAATGATCCCTTGATTTCCAATCTCCCATCAATGTGGGAGAGTTGGTAAAATGATAATTATTTAATTCCAAAATTAAATAATTAATCAACTCAATCACAAATCGACACATGGCACAAATATAGAGAAAGCCAAGTGAGGACCAAGGCTTGGGGGGACCATTGCCTTGATCCCCAAGGCCATGTATTGGTCCCCACACACCATGCCCAAAACCGGGTTAAGGTGTGCTAGTTGGCTGCCAGCTGGGGCTGCCAGCTAGCGTGCCTTGCTGCCCAGCACCAGCCAGCCAGCCAGTGCACGCTGTTGCTGGGCTGTGCTGGTGCTACGTGCTGGCGCTGGGCGCTGCTAGCACCTAGTGCTGGCATTAGCCCCAGCAGCCCACGCACTCACTCTTCGCGCCTCACTGCTAGCACAACCAGCATGCGTGCTGCTAGCGAGCCACGCATGCTGGCTACACTGTCCCCCGCACCATTCGCATACCCCATCGCACACACGCACTAGCACGATGCCTACGCTAGCACTAGCCAGTGCCTAGCACTTCTTGTGCTTGATGCGAGGCATGTGCGCCCGTACACGCACTCGTATGCGTGGCGCTGCTGCCTAGCACCCAGCCAGGCATTGCACGCACACGCACCAGCCATGCGCCACGCACCACGCACTGCCAGCCCACACGCATCACATGCAAGGCTGCTTTGTGCGAGGCTAGTGTGCGAGGCTGCGAGTGCCAGGCCCTAGCATCGAGCTGGCGCGCAGCCCCTCGCATGTGCTGCGATGCTTAGTGCTGCCATGCGAAGGCTAGCACTCAAGCACACGCACATGGCGCGCCATTGCCAGGCAGCCAGCCACGCCAACACCTGGTGCTTGCGATGGTGCTGCCAGGCCAGGCACGCACGCACGCAACACCCATTGCTTGCGATGGTGCGCCTGGTGATGCCATGGCCTGCGATAGGCGCCATATGCACCCAGTGCCCACGCTAGCATGCTTGCTAGCTGCTATGGGCTGCCTGGTGCCTGTGTGGCCTGCGATGGCTGCCATGCGCACCTAGGCACCCATGCTAGCTTGCGATGGGCTGCTAGGGTGCGCCTAGGCTGCGATGGTGCCTAGCACACCATGGTGCGCCTAGCACACACATGGTGCACCCAGGTTTGCGATGAGCTAGCCTAGCCTAGCTATGGCTACGCTCATGCTTGTCGATTGTGATTTTGCGACGCTCGGTATCGACGCCCTAGGCTCGATTTCCGACGTCTGTATTCGTAAAACTCTGTCGACTCATTAAATCCTTTCGGATTAATTCGACGTCTCGGATCGGAGATTCGATTGGGTTCGACCCGAAGGGTTCAGTTAAGATTAAGCTGTAATATCAATTGTATCCTGATATTACTGATCGGAAGCGGCCTCCACCTAGGCATTCTGATCACTTGACCTTACTGAAGAATTACCTCTATAATAATTCTGAACCCTCTATCGGAATAATACACTTGTTGGAAGGACACCATTCCTTTCAGAATCGTGGTCGCGATGTATGTGTGGACTTAACAGAGTTTTCTCGTTTGACACATATAGGGCTATCTGACTTTGTTCCTGCACAGATTGTGGCTGATGCGGCTCATCGGTAGCGGGTGAAGTATGAAGCTAGTTGTCGGCTGATTGGATATGGTTTAATTCCCTCCAACTTTTCTTCGCTTGGGGAATTAGAGAAGGAGGTTGTTGCGTTGCTGAAGCGGGTTCAGAGATTCTCGACGATGCAAGCCATTAGGGCTCGTGCTGCATCTCATATCTTTACTATAGCTAGAGGATGAAGGCCTAGATTGTATCTCGGCTTTCCACTAATTTATTGTAGGATGTATATAATAATAATAATAATAATAATAATAATAATAATAATAATAATAATAATAATAATAATAATACGATGTTCATAGTTTTAATTTTTCGAACACCATCAATTTAATCGGAAATCTTCACAAACACCATCAATTTAAAAACCTAATTTGTAGTATAAAACAATTCAAATTAAAAAAATTGCAATATCAACCATAAGAAGTAAATAAATAAAATCGTTAAAATTTCTGGTTTTTTGAATAGATATATATATTAAAAAAAATGAGATAATATTCCTGAGTTTAGATTATACCCTGAATTTGCGTAGTCGGCGTGAGTTAGGATATTTCTGACTCGGTTTAAGGAGGAGAGAGAAAGTTGTCAAAATGGCGATGGGTGGCAGTTATGGAGGAGAGAGAAAGTGGTAAGAATGGCGATGGGTGGTCAGTGGCGGAGCCAGGATTTGTAATCCGGGGGGACAATTTTTAGATGTTTAATAATCGACAATAATTATAAGAAAAAAGAAATTGATCACATAAATTGTTTAATATATATTTGAAATCGCTTATGAGATATGACAATTATTCTTATATGGTGAAAGAGGAGTTGTTAAAAAATTAATTGCATATTAAGAAATTTATTAACCAAATTTTTTTTTTATGCTGGTAAACCCCAATTTTAAGGTATGTAATCCTTAATAATCGATAAATATGATTTATCAAATGATAAGCATTTACACAAATTGATAGTAGATGTAAAGGGATTTGGGTTACATTTTAAAAAAAAAAAAATAATAAATAAATAAACTTTCTTTGACTAAAAATAAAATTGGAAACTTAGTTCCAAACAAGCTATAAAAAAAATAGAATTTAGGCACACATAATTAGAGAGATAAAAAAATACGGAGACATGTGTTCATTACAAATAGTTTAATAACACATTAGTAATCACTATCAACAAGGCGATACTTGATTAAACAGTTAAATGAGAGTAATTAGAGGTTTGAAGACTTATAATACTTTGTATATATAAATTACATACTATATAATGAAATTTAAAAACCAGTAAAAAAAAATGGCAAAATCCAAAAACAAGAAAAAGAAGTTAAATAGGAGCACTTTGTATAAACTATAAAATGAAATAAAAATAAAGTCCAAAAATAGCAAAAAGAAACAAAAAAAATGATCGGGTAAAGAATCGAACCTAGGATCAAAGAGAAATACAAGCTTTACTCAAGCCCATCAACCACCAGACCAAATGTTGTCTTTGTTATATAAGGTATACATGTAAGGTATTTATTCTTATTTACAGCATTTATTTAAGCTAACATAAATTAAATTTTTTTTTGGAAAAATGGGGGGACAACCGTCCCCCCTTGTTCCTACATGGCTCCGCCCCTGTGGGTGGTAGTCATGGAGGAGAGAGAAAATGGTGGTGGGTGTTGTTTTGGGCGTTGTGGAGGAGATGAATGGAAGGTTTTGTCCGCATTCATTCAGCCCTTTAACCCATTTTCGATTAAATAAAGTAATGGGATAGTCCTCTTCAGCCCATTTTCGATTTGAAGCCCAATACCGTACTTGTCCATATTAGGTTTTTTTTTTTATTTTTTATTTTATTTTTTATAAATGAGTAGAAAGATAGAGTATTTTATTTTAAATTTCAGTTTTTCATTATGTCCATTAAGTTTAAATTGGTTCGAAAAAATGTCCATTAAAATTAAATTAAGTTTGATATTAAACTTTATTCAAAAAAAAAAAAAAAAAAAAAGTTTGATATTAAACTAATAGGTGGCAAAAAAAAATTATGGAAATGTCTCTTTTTACCGTTGAAATAAGAGTATTTTTGGTAATGTTTTAAAAATCGTCAAATAAAAATTTATGAGATTGTAAATAATCTATTAATGAATACTACTTATGGAGTACAACATACAAGTGTATCATATTTACATGAGCAATATACATGAAATAAGCAAATCACACCCAAAGCCCATACATACCTTCCAAAAAAAAAAAAAAAAAGCTGTTCAAAATTCTTATCCCCCCTATCTTGCTTCCAATCTAGATCATTGTTTAAGAGTCCAAGCACCATGAAAGCCTAAAGGAAAAGTCAACGATTTTGGAACTTCAAATTTTGCAATAACTGCTCTTGCATCACCAATCCGTTTTGCATCCAAGATCACTAAATTACACATTCGCCGTGAGACAACATACTGCAATATACAATTCATAATTTAGTTTTTATTGAGTGGTTTATAATATACTATCCAATACATACGTACTGGTTTTAATCGTAATGAATTTACAATTTTTTTCGTGTAACATAAAAAATCTTACATATTATTCGTAGAATAGAGTATTCAAATCTCACCTCTACTACTAGAAGATATCCATTGTCTTCATCACCAAACGATCCTTTGTTAACAAACATTGGCTCCCCAACAAATCGACGAATACCAGGAGACCACGTACATACTTTTTTAGTTAAATTATCAAGTTTGAGTATTGTTTCAAAGGGAAAATGTGATAATGTTTGATGTGAACCACAAGAAGCTGCTGCATACACAAATCTATGTTTGTAACCACAACATTCCGGATTAATCATAGGAAAATCTGAAGATTTTGCGCGATTGTTTAAACGTGTTATTGAACATTCTCGATGTTTTCTATTCTTATCTAATTTGATTGTCACCTGTAATAATTTGCAAGAAAAAAAATATTAGGAACAACTTAATTTATAACTAAAGATTATGAAATGTGCTTATTTAATTAATTATTAAGTTGGGATGTATAATAAAAACTTAAAAAGTAGGATACTAACCTCAATGAGTTGAGGCAAACGTTGCTCCTTCCCTTCTTTACAGTTCATCATTGAAGGGTCTAATTTGTCATTTTGCCAATTGTATCCTATCAAAATTAATGTAATGACAAATGAGTATTTATATATTGAAAGAGTAATTCTTTATTTGGTGAAATTAAAAACTCGATCTATATATATATATGGAATACAATCTACTATTAATCATATACAAAATGAAATTTGACGATTTCAGGGGTTAGGGATAGGGATGTCAAATGGGGCGGGTCAAATAGGAGACCCGCCCCAACGAGGTGGGGATGGGTCTTGGTTTGGCGGGTGATGGGCGGGGATGGGGATAAAAACCATACCTGCCATGGGTGATGGGGCGGGGGTGGATTTTAGGTTGTACCCGCCCCACCCGCCCCACTTCGTACCCGCTCCATCCCCATCCACCCCACTTTGTACCCGCCCCATCCATGTATTTTTAAAAACAAAATTATATACTTTTATACTATTTTATAAAAAAAATTATGTAAAATAAAATAGTATATTATAATACTTTGTAATACACTTATATTATAAACAAAAAAATGTGTTTTATTAACAATGATTTTTTTCTTTTTGCAATATTTATTAATTGTGAAGGATTGTGCATTTGGGAGGCGGGGATTAGGCGGGTCTTAGGTGGGAGTGGATATCCAAGTGGGGGTTGGGGCGGGGATGGTTTTGGAATTGTATCCGTCGGGGCGGGGATGGGGATGAATTTTAGACCCGCTGCGGGGATGGGGATGGGTATGAAAATTTTAGATGGGGATGGGGATGGGGATGTGAAGGCCGAAATCCGCCCCGCCCCGCCCCATTGACATCCCTAGTTATGAATAAGGAAATTAAAACATGTTAAATGTCACGGGTATTTTGGTTTTTTTTTTTTTTTTTTTTTTTTTTTTAATAAAAAAATGGAGCGAATTTCATAAATAATGCTTAAACGAAAAACTATTATGTGAATTGGATTATTTTTTTTGCTTTTTCATTCCTGTAACAAAAATTGCTTACCAAACATCTTTTGAAAGTTGAACCACTTATAAGCACAAGCAGTAGCATGGATTTGAATCCTAAGGCTTCCATCATCATCGACGTTCTCGAATGCATTAGCAACATGTAATAGCCACAGTTGTGGAGCTTCAATAGGTTTTCTCCAGTATTCATCAGAATTACAGTTGGTTGTATTGTTGGTAAATCTAGGAAGAAGGTAAATGGAAGATGTTGGCTTGCTATGGTTCACTGAAAGAGCTGATATCATTGGTGCTTTTCCAGATATGGCTGCCATTGTTCCTGTGATATTGTATGAAAAATAATAATGTAAGTTATGTTAGCTAAGTAATTAAAAATCAAACCTTGTTTAAATGGTTTAACCAATTTTTATCTAATGAAAATTGATTATAATACTCTGGTGTTTGTTTTTGTATATAGTTATAACAATCGTATGTATATTTATGTATTTGATTACCTAATACGTCCAATTTTACGCGATTAGTGAACAATATGTAATGTGTATTGGTAAAAGCCCAGTCATGAATCATTGAATGACCGGAAATGTTGAATTCTTTCTTCTGCAATAATTTGAAGTTTGGATCAAACTCTGTCAAAAAAACAAAAAAAAAAAAAAAACATTAAAAAGGTCACTAACTCGTTACAAGAATGTTACTAGCTAGCAAATTAATACAATGAATAAATGATCATTTAACAAAGGAAATTTTGTCAACAACTACCTATTTAAGTCTCTGTTTTGAAAACAACTACCTTTTAAAAAAAAGTTTAAAACAACTACCACAAACTTGTAAAAAGTTAGAGTAGCACTACCACTTTTAAAATTCCGGCAAGAATCTCCGGTGAGAAGGGCCACATTTTTCATCACCTTAGTATTTTTCAACACAGAAAATGGGCCTCTATGAGTGAACCTCCAAGACCCACTTATTGGATCACATTCTTCCATTTGGGCCTTAGTTTTAACATACTTAGCTGAGAATCTCACTTCTCCCTTCGGCCCATTAATTTCAAAGGCCCTTAAGTACCCGTGACCATCAAGCGGGTGGATATTTGATCCATAATCATCAATGAAGAGGCCCGGCCCGGTAAGGTAGTATGTACCTAATGGGAAGTCTTTTGGTAATGCACCTTCAATGAGTTTAAGTTTGATAGGATTTGGTACTTCCAACCTTTGTGACATGAACAAAAATTGGTAGTCCCAAAATGCCACAATCTTCTCGTCGATAATTTCTTGGGTTGAAACCCGGCTATTGGGTAGGGAAATGGGTATAGGTTGGATAGTGGTGGCATTACGTCGGAATTGTATTGTACGTGGTGGTACAAAGTTTTCTGGTGTCCGAAAAAAAGTCGGATTAATTAAGTGGTAAGGCTTAGCTAGCATATTGAGGGAGATTTTGAAGAGAATTTTAGACTTAGGCTAGTAAGTGGTGGATGGGGCTAATCCGAGAGATTGGTATTGCTATTATGCTATATATAATTGCATTCCAAATAAGTGTTTTGGCCCAATTAAAGACTCTCAGTGTTGGACATCATTTTTGCAATTTTTGCTTGGTGGGTCCAAACACTACAATGCAAATGCACACAACAATTAATTTCATGGACAAATCACAAATGGCAGACATACTAGTTGTTTCACTTGCCGTAAGTATCAAGTATGTTTGTTAGTTGCTTGGAGGATCAAGGAGTGGAATCCCTCCATCTCCCCCAGGAGTAACTTGGATTCGATCCTCACCTCACCCCTCTTGTGATATGAGGAACATCTCCATATCTTACCGTGTAAAAAAAAAAAAAAAAAAAAAAGTTTGTTGGTTGCTTTTACATGGCTTGTTGCCCTTAATGGAGTTTGATTTTTTGTATTGAATTATTGATTTAGTTAATTGTAAAACTTTAAATCACCTATTTTGGTCCATGACCTATCATATTATAATAAAAACCGTCACAAATTATGAATTGTATGGGTAATTATTTGTAGAAATTGAAATTGGTTTTCCATCAGAATCATCACTTATATTCTCTCCGTTTGAAAATAACAGTCACATATATTATTTTGTGAATTTTAAGAAACAAAAACTATGATGTATCTTTATTTAGACCTTATACAAATATGTTACTTCTCTAAGTAACTCTCAAGTGTCACCTATATTTATTCTTTCACAACAAGAATTGATCATCATTGGACATTTGTATATAACATAATGGAAGTAATATGATTCTCAATGATAATATGCTTGATCATATTAGTATTAATGCTTGTTGATGTTGCCTTGGTCCCTAGCAATGACAAGAAAGGATCATATTTATAAAATAAAACTTGTATCACCAACCGTTCAATTGGCATCATCATCATAGAGTTAATTGAAGTTAAATAGCAAATTTGGTTCAATCAAGTGTTAGTGTTAGTGCACTACCTCTTTGTATAGTTTCATAGTTTGACTTTTGTTGCTGTCCTCTGCTCCGTAATGGGTGCATTTCATACTATTGGTTTACTCCATAATTAAAGTATAAGCATTTTTTTAGCCAATTGTAATGATGGTTGTCTATTATTTGTCTAGGCACTCAAATAAAATTGTTGACATTATTAATATATGATCTAGATGGGAAAAGATATGCTTCTGTATGGCATATTCAATAATTCAATTGTGATTCTTAGTTTGAAGTTTTGAACTATTTATTTTGAATATAAGTGTATGATGCATATTTAGATTTTCGTTACCCTTAAATAATTACACGCTTCTATGATTTTAAATTTGTTATATGTTTAGAAACTAGTTACACTTGTAATAATATTGACAGTTAATCAACCACACAAATTTTTAAAGTTTTTTTTAACCAAATTACATTTATAGACTTTTTTACTTTGTAATTTTGTGTGTTTGTACACGCACAATTCTAAAAACTAATGGTCTATTGGTAACAAAACTAACAATGTTGATTTTAAATCAAGTAAAACTCTATTCTCTACCACCAAGCCACCACTCTCCTCACTCGCACCTTACTAGGCATTCATTATTTTTTTTGGAAATTATACTATATCCAACCGTCCTTATTTGAAATTGATTTGTCATTTAAAAATTTTAAAGTTAATATTTTTTTGGTGTTTAGAGAGCCACAAGGGTGGAGATGAAAATTGATTTCAGGATACCCTGGAATCGAGAGGGAGCTGTAACCACTTTGAGCTATCTCTCACTCTAAAAAAATAAATTTAAAGTTAATAAATCTACACAATATGAGCGTAGTTTGAAAAATTAAGGGCAATAACCATATTTTTATTAATAGCGAAAATAATAACGAATATATTGTCAATCTCAGCAAACTCTCCTTTAAGATGTTCGGAATAAGGGTAGTCGTTTTTATTGCTGTATTTTATTGTTTTACCTCTGGACAGGCCATGAAGGATGCTTATAGGCTAACTATTCAAGCAAGAGTAGTTTTAGATCGAATAACCTGCCATAGGTCTGTTTTGTGACTGTAAAAAAAAAAAAAAAAAAGTCCTCAATTATCATTACTAAAAACGATATCAAACAAGCCAACAGTTCTCCAAGTTTGTGGGAGTAAAAAACCTGCCGCAACAGCAAACAACGTGGCAAACACAAACATCAGCACTACCATCTTTCAACAACAAGTCTTCCCTTTATTCTGAAAAAATACAACTTTCTCGCGAAACTATCCTCCTTCCACCTTCACTACCATTGACGGTTAACTTCTGCTCAACTTCAGAGGAGAGAGAAAATGACTATGTCGTACGAACAACGCCTGAAAGCGGCGGCGAAGACTATAACGGCCGCCGATGATTCTCCGGCGCCGTTCAACTGCGACGATATCGGAGTGACGGCCACCCTTAAACCTCACCAAATTGACGGCGTTTCATGGCTTATTCGCCGTTATCTTACCGGCGTCAATGTTATTCTCGGTAATCTTCGTTCGACAATTCTCTCTCTTTTTTTCATTGATTTTTTTTTTTAATTTTTGTGCGTATTAAATATTAATTGATGTTAAATTATGAGGAAATAAAAATTCGAAAATCTAGGTTGGTTTTTTTGTTTGATTAAAGTTGTGTACTTTGTTGAAGCTAAGTGGGATTAATTTGAGTATACAACCCTAATTTTATTGCATTTTGTGGAGAAATGAGGATGATCATTATGCTCAGTAGTTAGTTTAGAGCTCTATGATGATTAATTGATCGTTGAATTAGATTATTACTTAGATTGATGGAGGTGTTATGCTAGCAAAATTTGTACTAATAGGTAGTTGTTCAGCAAACTTTTGATATAAGATGTTTCGAAAAAGTGATATTTATAGGGGTTCCTAAAAACTTTTTTTTGGACTAGTATACTCAAACTAATAGAGTAATAGGTACTCTAATGCCTTAATGCATACTCCGTACCACTTATTACCTGCGCTCTGGATGGTATATCCCGGTTTTGAATGAACAAATTGTTCTACTATAATTAACAAATATCGGATATGTTCATTGTTTTTGAACCATACGTTAATGAGTTTCATTGCTGAATTAATAAAAGGGTTATATGTCTGTTATATTTGAACTATAGATTTTGAAATTATATGATGTTTATAACTTTTGAACTTTTTTAAGTAAATGATCATAATTTATGTACTAAATATTCATAAGTTTGAATTATTTGTTCTTTCAGATTGATAGCAGTTTATAGTAACTGTTGCTTTGTGTTAAAATGCCTGACAACAAAGAGGTTTGATCATTACTTTTTTCTCTCTACTTACATTTATATGCTCGTGTATTTGCAGGAGATGAGGTATGATACCTTCAGGAACCCTGCAGCTATATGTCAAATACTCAAATGTCATTTTGCTACATGTTTATTTTATAAGCGTAATGACAATGAAAGTAGAACATAGGCATCACCATGATGCAAAGCATCTTGAAGAATATTAATACATTTGATTTTGTCCTTGGTTCTGTTTTTATTGCGCTGGACTGAAATATTGGCAGATGGGATTGGGAAAAACTTTGCAAGCCATCACTTTTCTGGGCTACCTGAAGTTCTGTAAAAGATTGCCCGGCCCATTCTGTGAGTCAACATCTTTTGATCTTTTGGATCATACAACATTACTTATCTTTTTTATTTTCTTAGCTGATTCAAATGTCTTTATAATTTATGCAGTGGTCTTGTGCCCCTTAAGTGTGATAGATGGTTGGGTGTCAGAAATAGAGAAATTTGCTCCTAAGTTGAGGGTTCTCAGTTATGTTGGTGATAAAGAGCACAGGCGTATGCTGAGGAGGACAATGTATGAACATGTTCAAGCACAATCTTCATCTACTAATGTATGTTTTAATTATGATATGGCTTTTGATTACACGTGAATTGCTGCTACAACTTTGTTTTTTAATGCAATATACACTTATATTTGTTATGGTAGTTGAATTTGGATTTTGAATGGATTGCAGGTGCCTTCATTACATTTCGATGTCCTTTTGACGACATATGACATTGCGCTGATTGATCAAGACTTCCTTTCACAATTTCAATGGCATTACACTGTGATTGACGAAGCTCAAAGGCTTAAAAATTCTTCAAGTGTAAGTTGGACACCTCATGCTCTTTCCTAATTGTTGAAAATAAATAACTGCTTTGTATGTTGGAACTTTCAAATATATAATGGCTTGTCCTCACTTTGTGGAACATGTTGTCTTTCAATTTTTTCTTTGGGTGCCAAAGTGTAGGAGAGAGACTGAATCTTACTTTCAAAAGACAAACAATTTTATGTGAAATTTGGGATAAGTAGTGTTGTCATTTGAAGAATTTCAGCATTCCAAAAAAGGAAATGATGGAACTAATTCAAAACATCCTAAAATGAATTAGGTAGAAATAGAATAAAAACCGAGGAAGTACTTGGAATGCTGTAAAAAATAAAATTAAAACTCTCAACCCTCCTCCCTATTTTTGTGATGAATGTGGATTCTATAATATTCCTATTGCAAGCTAAAAGATTATCCCTTTCTTGGTAAATGCCTCCAATAGGAATGTAAATAAAGTGTGTTAAATACTGAATACTAAGCTATTTTGCATTTTATGAAATTTTAAAGTGCCTCATCCCCAGGTTCTGTATGGCGTGCTCAAAGAGCAATATGTAATGCCACGACGTTTGCTGATGACAGGCACACCCATCCAAAACAACCTTACTGAACTTTGGGCATTGATGCATTTTTGTATGCCATCTGTTTTTGGAACATTGGAGCAGTTTCTTCACACATTTAAGGCTGTAGGAGATGCTTCTGCTGGTATTCTTTCCTCACAATCTTACATTGCTTAGTCAGTTGGCTGCTAACTCTATTTGAGGATATAGAATTGTTTTCAAGTTTTTTTAAGTAAACTTTTCTAGCTATTCTAACCATCTTACTATTGAATGTATATTTCCTCTTTTCTGCATGCACAATGTTTAAGTTTTCTGGGGATCCCTCACCTCCCCACCCCCCTCAAAAAAAAAAAAAAAAAAAAAAAAAGGCTATTGAGACTTTTTGGAGAATGTGTGCATTGATAATTATAGTTTTTATTTTTTATTTTTATGAGAACATGGCTGTGTTGGTCAGTTTATAAACTCTGTAATGTTGATGACTGACAGTGACTACTGACTAGTTGGCAGGCTGCTCTATCTTCTATCTAGCATTTAAGTGTTACCCTACATATTGTATCTTCGTCATTTTAATGTATGAGCAGCTAGATAAAAGTTAGCTGTTAGCAAAGCAAATGATTGAGCAACGACAACATGGTCTTAGGCTTTAGTGTCTTTGTTATATTTGTTTAGTGTTTTTTTATTAGAATTGGCAAGAGATTGATAGTTACTAATGGATGTTTGTCTACGGAATGTAGTGTGTGTCAAACATAAGTCAAG